TTGAATATCTGAGAACGGCACTCTACCGACTGAGCTACCGGCTCGCACTTGAAATGTATTGAAATATAATATATATGAACCTCAGGTTGCAAAGGGTGGTGATTTCAAAAGTCACGTGTCGTCATCAATACCTCACTCCGCACCCTCGCTTACCTGTCGAAAAAATAATAAATGTCGCAGATGACAAGTTGGGGCTCGAACCACCAACCCCGCGATTGAATATCTGAGAACGGCACTCTATCGACTGAGCAACCGTCTCGCGCTTGAATCGTGTTGAAATATAATATATATGAACCTCAGGTTGCAAAGGGTGGTGACGTCAAAAGTCACGTGTCGTCATCAATCCCTCACCCCGCTCCCTCCACTCACGTATCGAAAACATAATAATTGTCACAGATGACAACCTGGGGCTCCAACCACCAACCCCGCGATTGAATATCTGAGAACGGCACTCTACCGACTGAGCAACCGGCTCGCACTGGAAACGTATTGAAATATAATATATATGAACCTCAGGTTGCAAAGGGTGGTGACGTCAAAAGTCACGTGTCCTCATTAATCCCTTACCCCGCTCACGTGTCGAAAAAAAAAATGTCGCAGATGACAACCTGGGGCTCGAACCACCAACCCCGCGATTGAATATCTGAGAACGGCACTCTACCAACTGAGCAACCGTCTCGCACTTGAAATGTGTTGAAATATAATATATATGAACCTCAGGTTGCGAAGGGTGGTGACGTCAAAAGTCACGTGTCGTCATCAATCCCTCACCCCGCTCCCTCGCTTACCTGTCCAAAAAAAAATAATAAATGTCGCAGATGACAAGTTGGGGCTCGAACCACAAACCCCGCGATAGAATATCTGAGAACGGCACTCTACCGACTGAGCAACCGGCTCGCACTTGAAACCTATTGAAATATAATATATATGAACCTCAGGTTGCAAAGGGTGGTGACGTCAAAAGTCACCTGTCGTCATCAATCCCTCTCCCCGCTCCTTCCGCTCACCTGTCGAAAAAAATAATAATTATCGCAAATGACAACCTGGGTCCTCGAACCAGCAACCCCGCGATTGAATATCTGAGAATGGCACTCTACCGACTGAGCTACCGGCTCGCACTTGAAACGTATTGAAATATAAAATATATGAACCTCAGGTTGCAAAGGGTGGTGACGTCAAAAGTCACGTGTTGTCATCAATCCCTCACCCCCCCGCTCACTCGCTTACTTGTCGAAAAAAATAATAAATGTCGCAGATGACAACCTGGGGCTCGAACCACCAACCCCGCGATTGAATAGCTGAGAACGGCACTCTACCGACTGAGCAACCGGCTCGCACTTGAAACGTATTGAAATATAATATATATGAACCTCAGGTTGCAAAGGGTGCTGACGTCAAAAGTCACCTGTCGACATCAATCCCTCACCCCGCTCACGTGTCGAAAAAAAAATGTCGTAGATGACAAGCTGGGCTCGAACCACCAACCCCGCGATTGAATATCTGAGAACGGCACTCTACCGACTGAGCAACCGTCTCGCACTTGAAATGTGTTGAAATATAATATATATGAACCTCAGGTTGCAAAGGGTGGTGACGTCAAAAGTCACGTGTTGTCATCAATCCCTCACCCCGCTCCATCGCTTACCTGTCGAAAAAATAATAAATGTCGCAGATGACAAGTTGGGGCTCGAACCACCAACCCCGCGTTGAATATCTGAGAACGGCACTCTATCGACTGAGCAACCGTCTCGCGCTTGAATCGTGTTGAAATATAATATATATGAACCTCAGGTTGCAAAGGGTGGTGACGTCAAAAGTCACGTGTCGTCATCAATCCCTCACCCCGCTCCCTCCACTCACGTATCGAAAACAATAATAATTGTCACAGATGACAACCTGGGGCTCCAACCACCAACCCGCGATTGAATATCTGAGAACGGCACTCTACCGACTGAGCAACAGTCTGGGACTTGAAATGTATTGAAATATAATACATATGAACCTCAGGTTGCAAAGGGTGGTGACGTCAAAAGTCACGTGTCGTCATCAATCCCACACCCCGCCCCCTCCATTCTGTCGAAAAAAAATGTCGCAAATGACAAGTTGGGGCTCGAACCACCAACACCGCGATTGAAGATTTGAGAATGGCACTCTACCGACTGAGCTACCGGCTCGCACTTGAAACGTGTTGAATTATAATATATATGAACCTCAGGTTGCAAAGGGTGGTGACGTCAAAAGTCACCTGTCGACATCAATCCCTCACCCCGCTCACGTGTCGAAAAAAAATATGTCGCAGATGACAAGTTGGGGCTCGAACCACCAACCCCGCGATTGAATATCTGAGAACGGCACTCTACCGACTGAGCAACCGTCTCGCACTTGAAATATGTTGAAATATAATATATATGAACCTCAGGTTGCAAAGGGTGGTGACGTCAAAAGTCTCGTGTCGTCATCAATCCCTGACCCCGCCCCCTCCGTTCTGTCGAAAAAAATGTCGCAAATGACAACCTGGGGCTCGAACCACCAACACCGCGATTGAAGATTTGAGAATGGAACTCTACCGACTGAGCTACCGGCTCGCACTTGAAACGTATTGAAATATAAGATATATGAACCTCAGGTTGCAAAGGGTGGTGACGTTAAAAGTCACGTGTCGTCATCAATCCCTCACCCCGCTCCTTCCGCTCACCTGTCGAAAAAAAATAATAAATGTCGCAGATGACAACCTGGGGCTCGAACCAGCAACCCCGCGATTGAATATCTGAGAATGGCACTCTACCGACTGAGCTACCGGCTCGAAATTGAATTCTTTTGAAATATAATATATAGATCCTCAGGTTGCAAAGGGTGGTGACGTCAAAAGTCACGTGTCGTCATCAATCCCTCACCCCGCTCCTTCCGCTCACCTGTCGAAAGAAATAATAAATGTCGCAGATGACAACCTGGGGCTCGAACCACCAACCCCGCGATTGAATATCTGAGAACGGCACTCTACCGACTGAGCAACCGTCTCGCACTTGAAATGTGTCGAAATATAATATATATGAACCTCAGGTTTCAAAGGGTGGTGACGTCAAAAGTCACGTGTCGTCATCAATCCCTGACCCTGCCCCCTCCGTTCTGTCGAAAAAAAAATGTCGCAAATGACAACCTGGGGCTCGAACCACCAACACCGCGATTGAAGATTATAGAATGGCACTCTACCGACTGAGCTACCGGCTCGCACTTGAAATGTATTGAAATATAAGATATATGAACCTCAGGTTGCAAAGGGTGGTGACGTCAAAAGTCACGTGTCGTCATCAATCCCTCACCCCGCTCCTTCCGCTCACCTGTCGAAAAAAAAAAAAAAAATGTCGCAGATGTCAACCTGGGGCTCGAACCACCAACCCCGCTATTGAAAATCTAAGAATGGCACTCTACCGACTTAGCCACCGGCTCGCACTTGAAACGTATTGAAATATAATATATATATGAACCTCAGGTTGCAAAAGGTGGTGACGTAAAAAGTCACCTGTCGTCATCAATCCCTCACCCCGCTCCCTCCGCTCCCGTGTCGAAAAAAAAATGCCGCAGATGATAACCTGTCGCTCGAACCACCAACCCCGCGATTGAATATCTGAGAACGGCACTCTACCGACTGAGCAACCGGCTCGGACTTGAATTGTTTTGAAATATAATATATATGAACCTCAGGTTGCAAAGGGTGGTGACGTCAAAAGTCACCTGTCGACATCAATCCCTCACCCCGCTCCCTGGCTTACTAGTCGAAAAAATTAATAAATGTCGCAGATGACAACCTGGGGCTCGAACCACCAACCCCGCGATTGAATATCTGAGAATGGCACTCTACCGACTGAGCTACCGGCTCGCACTTGAATTGTTTTGAAATATAATATATATGAACCTCAGGTTGCAAAGGGTGGTGACGTCAAAAGTCACCTGTCGACATCAATCCCTCACCCCGCTCCCTGGCTTACTAGTCGAAAAAAATAATAAATGTCGCAGATGACAACCTGGGGCTCGAACCACCAACCCCGCGATTGAATATCTGAGAACGGCACTCTACCGACTGAGCAACCGGCTCGCACTTGAAATGTATTGAAATATAATACATATGAACCTCAGGTTGCAAAGGGTGGTGACGTCAAAAGTCACGTGTTGTCATCAATCCCTCACCCCGCCCCCTCCGTTCTGTCGAAAAAAATTGTCGCAAATGACATCTTGGGGCCTCGAACCACCAACCCCGCGCTTGAAGATCTGAGAGTGGCACTCTACAGACTGAGCTACCGGCTCGCACTTGAAATGTATTGAAATATAATATATTTAATTTAAAATTATCTCAGTGATAAATTTGAAGAAGAAAAATAGCTGATGAAAATGAGCAGCGACGACGTGGATTGTATCCATAGCTCATCTCGCTATCCACTAGGCTACTGTGTGGTAGCTCGACGACAACCGTTCTTTAAAATGCTTTAATGTATTGTAACTAGTTGAGTAACTTACAACAATGCTGTTGATGTCATTGTCCGTTCTCATGGATAAACATGAATTATTCATGACATTGCCCCTAACCCTCCTAGGAATAAAAATTACGCTGACAGGTCTTATCAAAGGTCATTTTAGATTGATTTGTAAATGACAATTAGTCCTTCAAGTTTATTTTTTTTTTTAAATGTGTGTCCCAAAACGCATTTAGGCTCATACTTAAGTTTAAGATTTCACCCAATAACCGCGAAAAAATTATGTCATAAATTTTCATCTTTGTATGAGTGCACCGAGTACCCCTAGTGCACATGTATTTTAGATTTTCAAAAGTGAGAGGTCAATTTTTGGCACGAACGTCATGCAATTTTAAATTGCATAGGCTACGCCAATATCGCCTTGACAAATCCTCTCAGCAATGCATGACTAAATGTTGCATTACAGCAACGTTTTAAAGATGTTTCATCACACAAAATTCAAGGTTTCATTCAACTTGCTTTTCCCCGAAAGGTGTATGCGACAATGAGGAATTTGAAGTCAAAGTCCAACCTGGACAAAGAAGCAGGGAACACCTTGAACAAGACACTCTTCATCCGGGAACTTGACGTGACCAAGGACCCCACTATCAAATCGGTGGTAGACGAGATTCTGCGAGACAACGGGAGAATCGACGTTCTCAGTGAGTAAACGTTAATTTAGGCAATGATAAACTGCAACCAAAGGGAATCGCGAATAGCGACTAACCTTATTTCTGTAGACAGACAATATTTATTGATAAACAATCGGCAATGATTTGGGTGCGATGTGGACAGAATGCTAGACCAGACTTTTTATCTTGGATTCAATAAAGTAGGCCACTAAGTCGTATTTTTATATTCCAAGTAATCTGATTGAGGGTTATAGTAGCAAAAAATATTATTCCACTCTTATTTAAAGGACGTAAGTTTTAACCTGTTTTGTTTGACATTGGTTTATCTAATTGCAATAAAACGTAATGGTTCTTGTGTTGAATGGTATGACACAAAACAACCGATGACAACGTACAATCTTCGTATTCGGGCGCTGTTCGATACGGACAATTCTCACTGGCCTTAAACAGGGCACTGTAAAGGGCTAAATATTGCTTCGGGATGCATGACGTAATTTCGTAGAGAATATGAGGAACAAATTTTAAAAGGAAAGTTAAATGAAAACCGAGTTGACATTTTGAAAGCTGACAAGGACGCCACATGCGGACACTATTTCGCATCGGACAGTTTTTGGTATGACAACGTCGTTCGCAGGACGTTGTGAAATGGGGCATATTCGTTTAAAAAGGGCATTAGTGACGAAATATTTTGGGGAAGGATACCCCTTACCCCTTCCCCGGACGCTACGCAACGCAACTAGTGCAGTGGGTAAAGGGAAAATGCAGTAGTTTAACATTCTGCATAGTCCATTCTGCATTCTGCATACCCTGCTAGGGCCTTTATCTCTTCGTGGTAATGATTTTTTATAAGTATTAATATCAAAGTATTACTTTTTTCTGAACTTCTCTGTTCCACTATAATGCTTGACTGATTTTTTTTTTTCAGTAAACAACGCTGGCTACATGTCCTTAGATGCCATAGACCAGAAGTCGTTAGAATGGTGCCAAGGTATGATGGATACCAACTACTGGGGAGTAGTAAGAACAACCAATGCCGTGTTACCAGCGATGAAGAAGCAGATGTCAGGCAGGATCATAAACGTTTCCAGTATAGCAGGCGTGCTAGGTAAACGTTGAATGCAGTTTTAGGTTTCTATTTTGCTAGCAGCTCCAAAGTAATTCACTTTTGAATCAGACATCGAACCAAAAAGTCGACCCACTTTTAGTCCCCAATTGTTTTTTACAAACTTTGAATTATAAGCAGCCCGATAAGGATAGTGCTATGAGAGTCACGTGGCGAGCTTTTGGAACTCTCGTGCGGCCCGCCTATGGGCATTTTACACTAGGTTGCCCTGTTTTTGACACAATGATTTCTAATTCATAAATACCTCAGACAGTTTAGCTATTCCTATTGGTCGAGAGCCCATCACGTGGCCGGTCTTAAACGGATTATGAAGACATGGCTAGCTGGTCTTAAACACTTTTCCAGTGTCACAATGAAATGTGGACTCCCAAAAATCCAGTGCCTCTTTACCGTTTCATTGGTTGAACGTTCACAATCCTCACGTAGGCATGCGCAACACTACCAGCGAGTCAGAATTTTATAGTTCTAAATTCAAAACGCAACGCCCCAGGTGCGTTCTGCGCGACATCGCGCAGAACATGCTACGCAAGCGTCAACCTCCATAAAAGGGTTGTTTACATCTTACTCTCCAGCTGAACACTCCATTATTTTGCTAGAGGGATGTTTCAAAAAGCATGAAGTGAACTTGTTGAACAAAATCGGGATTTTGTGAACGAATTATTTGATATTTTTTACCGAAAAGGTATTTATGAATGGGAATAAATATGTGCTCGGTCGGTATTTATCACTCTGTTTAATACCGCTTAGAGTCTGGGTGCTGATAATTACCCTCGCCTCCGGCTCGGGTAATTATCAGCACCCAGACTCTAAGCAGTATTAAACAGAGTGATAAAAGCCTCCGGAGCACACATTTATTCCCTTAGTAATTACCCAAAGAATTATTCATGTTGGAATTTTATCTTGGTATTCATCATGAAGAGAATGAGAAATAACTTTGAGATAGGTAAAAACGAATTTCTCACGACCTTTCACATCTGGCATTTTCGTTCCTAGTTCTGCTTGTTTGTTCACGTTTTCGTCAACGAAAACGAATAACGACGCAAAGATTTACCTATATACCTACAGCCGACGGGTTCAAGGTTTAGTCGGGCTAGCTTGAATGCAGTGCTTAGCAGTGGTCATTAAAAACAATATGTAAACGCTTATTAGTCCTTCAAGTTGAATTTAAAAAATCCTGTATTTCCAAAAAGAAATTTTAATCTCATATTTAAGTGTCAGTTTTCACCCAATGACCGTCACAAAAGTATTTTATAAATTTTCGTGTGAAAGGTCCATTTTTGGCACGATATTTTTCTTCCACGTCCGGCGATTTTTTTTCGGTTTCCATAAATTGAGATGCTAGTAAAAATTTTACACACGACTTTTTTTGAGTGAATTGTTTTGAAGAAATCAATGTCCCAAAAATAATATTTGCAAATTTTAGAATTTAGTGCAAGTAAATTTTCCTATTCAAGGGTTGAATTTTCAGGCTCTATTCATTTTTCGCTGGGGTAGACGGGTCCCCCCCCCCCTTTTCTTTTTTTAAGAATAAACCGGGAACCAGTCTACGCACAGGTAGGATTTGTTTTTACTCAAAACCCAGTCAACATAAACGCCTCCTTTTAGAGTGTCGCAGTTAAAGGAATACGATCACATTTGGTGAAGAAGCACCTCTTTAAGGCCAAAACAGGCTCCGGTTTCTGGTATGCGCGCGTCGCTGTAGCCATCGCATCGGCAAGATTAAAAAGTTTTTTTTTTTTTCAATGTAAGATGATGTCTCAAAACCGCCAAACTCACTGGTTTGACTGCTGCACAATTTTAACGTGTTTTTAGATGGGGTTACGATCGAGTATAAGCTTTATGTGGCCTATCCGGGCTTCCATATATTTTGTACTACCATCAGCCGACATTTGTTGGGGGAAAAAAAAAGCCGCGTCGCCGCACCACTTTTGGGGCAAGCTCCAAACAAGAAACCGAAGACTTTTTTTGGCCTGATGGCACATGTTTGCAATCTTGTGAATTTTTTTCTGTATTTTCTTTAAAACAAAGTGTCGACACAGACTATGTATAGTGAAACGTTACTCGGTTAGATTGAAAGAATATGCAACGAGGACATTACTGCAGAGTTGGCGATGTTTTTTAAAATATTTTTTTAATAAAAAAGTCAGATTTTAATGTTTTATATCAGTTCTTTTTTATTTAAATCGTTTTTATTTACTTTCAAAATATTTATTCGCCTCCAAATTTGTCTTAATTTGTCCCCAAACCCTTATACCCATCAACAAGGAGTATAGTTCTTAGGTTCCTATAATACACATCATCCACAACATGCACTCAATTCTGTATTCGTGAATTTCCCGACAAATATTCTCAATTTACATTGATAAATGCCTATGAAAAAAACATTCCATTGCATCAGTGATACAAAAAAATCACTTGATTTCATCCACATGACAGTTATGTTGTCAACCTCATTGGTACAAGGGTATAGAAATACTGAAGACACTTTAAAGGTGCATATATACGGTCGAGACTAATTCATTAGTCGATGCTAATGAAGGGTTTTGAATGTGCGAACAACATCTTAAACTTTGGAATCAGTTGATTTAAAAGGTTAAAATGACCCTCAATAAATTTATTTTTAAAACAATAACATATTTTTATAAAAAGGAAATTCAATGAATAACAAAAAAACTCATTTGATTTAAACCGCGATTTCAATCAGTGATTTTAATCAATGTGATGTACATCAGCAAGCCCTGCATTACTAGGGAGGAAAGTTATCATGCTAAACGTCTCGTCTCTTATTTGGAACTACTACCAGAGATACGGCAACATTGCTGTGCAGTTCAGAATTGGGCAGTATTGGTTGATGCTATTCTGTCGCAGTTGATATTTTGCAACAAACTACATTTCAATATCTTTTTCCCCCAGCTCTTCCTTTTTATGCTACCTACTCTGCTACCAAGTTCGCCATTGAAGGATACTCCGAGTCCATTGCCCCGGTGTTGAGAGATGGATACAATATCAGGTATGGAAGCTATTTATCAAATCTGTTTATTGGGTAATAAAAATATAACTAAAGATATTCCTCATTGGCCGAAGAATCCAATACTCCGAACATAATTAATGTCTTCTTGTTTTGCTTTTCTGGGTGCCGGAACAAATTGAAAAGGGAGCAAACCAAGGATATGGTGGACCCAAAATGGATGGTTGGGGTGGCTAAGCACCCCCTCCTCCGACTAACCAATGTTTCATTATTTACAAAATGGAAAATATACATTTAATCTCACATGTCCTTAAAGTTCCCTGAATAACTTCATCACTCAATGTTTAAAATCATGGCCCAATTTCATGGTTCTGTTGACCGGTAGCGACTGCAGCAGAAAATTGTGTACTTGTGATTAGCGCATTTCACGGGTTAGCGAAAAAAATGGCTTATGCGAATGCGTACATCCCTTAACTAAGAATTCTGCGCTTACTGAATGAGTGCAGAATTATTCTGAAAGCGCTGCAAGCACAGAATTGTGATCGTAAGCACCGAATTCTTTGGTTAGAAGCGCCCGTGAAATTGGGCTATGTAATCATTTGTCTTTTTATGCGTGACGGCAATTCCCCCTCCATCCCGTTGAAAAAAAAAACACACTTGCCCTTCAACATGAACTCCAGGCACCCCAACCCAGTGCATGCTCAGTGAACATTTCTCTTATTCTGAGTGAGAGTTATACATAAACTGTCAATTAACAAAACATGTTTTGAAAATGTCCTTTGAAATTGTGCTACATTTTCTTTTGTTAGGGTGAGCATGGTTGAACCGGGGCCAGTCAAGACAGAGCTTACCAACATGGTCTTTGGTACACCGTTCGAAGAACAAGCCAAAGATTTTGACCCCATCTTGCGAGATTTAGTCGTCACAAATTTGAAGCCCAAGGCGGCTGGGTTGTCTTCGGTACTTCAAGGCGCCGATGAAATAGCCAAGCTCCACATGGATATCATTCTGAGTGACAATCCTCACCTGCGCTATCAGACGTCCGAAAACTTGACGAAAAGGGCGGTCATGAAGCTTCGTGATCCGACCACGGATTTTCTCCTCGATATGCTCAAACAAAGCGGTAACGCTTCCCCTGCAGAGTAGCGTCATGTAGTAAAGTAAACTCGCGCCATTGGAGGGGCCTCCGTGAACGTTCAGTGATAGCGTGTTTGGACTCGACAATAATTTGATAATTTTCATAACCTGTAAAAGGCTAGAGAGGTATCTTTGGATCTTATATGATTACAATTAACACTATTTCTTGATTTATAACCATTGCCTGCTTGTTTGGTGGAAGTGCATTGTTTCATTGTGATTAAATCAATCAAATACTGATTGATTTTGATCAAGACCAGTTGGTTCAGAGTTAAACCAAATGGTTCTTCTCAGAACCACACAACTCACAAAGAGATATCATTCACATGCTGTTACCGCAAACCTCCCATTTATTAGGTACTGATTGCATCTGTATTCCAAGCTCGTATTGTATTTAGTATTCTTTTGACAACTTCTTTTTTTGTTGAAGATCCTCAAAAGTCTTTCAGCAAAGAGATTGTTTCTTATTTTCAAACCAATCTGATTTTCACCGATATTAATTATAGTCTAGGCTTATGGTTCACTGCTTGTATTTTATAAGCAGGGGACCTGAACATCCTGAGAGATATATTTCTATGTCCAAATGCGGTAGTTGTTTTTTGGAGATCCTCAAATGTCTTTCAGCAAAGATATCGTTCTTTTAGTTATATTCATTAAAAATCTTAGCTTAACAAATATTAATGATACTCGTCTATAGCCGTCTGGTTCACTGTGTGTATTTTATAAGCAGGAGACCTGAACATCCTGAGCGATATATTTCTGTGAATTTTGCAAAAAATAGGTGACCTTATTTGCAAACCTAAAGTTTACCTGAGGCCGAAATGATAATAATAACATGATAAGGTCCAATCAGGCCTTGAAAAATGCGTGGTCAGCCCACTCAGGCCATATCAAAGTGCACTTTGACAAGTTGTATAAAAGCCCTTCATTCCGGCTAAATCGATCATAATCAATTCGCAACAGCAAACCTACCTCTGCGTTGAAATCAAATGCCGCAATTTAATTGGTCGCTGCTGTAAAGGATAAAAGACCGAGGCATAAACAGAAAAGAATCCTGCAACAAACATGGCGCCGCAGACCGTACTCATCACTGGGTGCTCGACAGGGATCGGTTTTGCCACGGCCCTCATGCTAGCCAAAGACAAGCTTACCAGATTCAAGGTAGGTACATGTATACCGGTACAAATGCCATCGCATTATGAACTTTGTTCTTGAAATGCACTCCTTATTTTTGAACTATTAGTTCACCGTCAGGAAAGTTCTGGTGCAGGTGCATGTGAATAGGTGGCTTTGAGTTTGGCAATGAAGGGTTTGCATCCACTAAGAGGATTGAGCAGAGTTGATCGGTGGCTGGGCTGATGGTTCAAAGTAACATGTTTGGTTTCAGAATACAAAAAAAATCCAGTAGGCCCGTTGCATGCTTGCTCCATTGTAAATAGGCTAGGCCTATGGAGTACCGAAGTGTGACGTCATTTAGAACCAGAGGCTGCGTTCGAGCGTGTTACTCTTGGTACTCGCGGGTGCAGGAAAATGTTGCGTGCGCATTACTCTCGGTGCAAGAGAATACTCCTGGTTTGGCCGAGAGCATACTCTTGCTAACCCGCGGGTCGTACTCCTGCCGTTCGTGCGCTCAGGAGTATACTCGTGCTAACACGAGTAGCACGCTCGAACGCACCCAGAAAGTGTAGTGCAAACGAATGGAGTACGCGCGCGTGTTGGTTCACGGCATAGATATAGAATATCTCAAACTCGTGCCCCGTGGGTACGATCTTGCAGCGCCATGTTGTTTCCCATCATGCCTTGCGCGATCGTAAGGAACGAGCACGCGCCCCTGGAGTCGAGGCTGAGAATATCTATGGTTCACGGGCTGAATCACGCGCTTACACACGCATTGTGCGCGTGATGTATTCACTCTGGTAGTCAAATTGTCATCACTACCCATCGATAGCTTGGATTTTGCCATTTGAAATCTTGAGAGCCTTTGTGTGGCCCCAATTGTCAATAAATCGCCGAAATAGGAAACAAATTACAAAATATTTATTTTTTAAAATTTCATCATTCTTTTAGAAATATTTGCAGTGTTTTCTATTTATTTGTACTTTCTTCACAATAATTCGATTTGGATTGCCCTGAAAGATGTCCGCTACAAAAATTAATTCGAATTTAAAGACCAACTTTCAAAAGCAAGCTGTGTTATATTTTACCGTCATTGACAAAAAAGGTTCTTCGGTGTGACGAATACAATGAGTTTGTTTTAGACTCAAGTCCCGATAAATACATGAAATGCAAAAATACTCCGACATCTCTATGTTAAATTTAATGTTGATTTTCATAGCTACATATAAATCATTTATACATTTTTGCTCGTAAACGTTTTAAGAATTTTCACAACAAAAAAATAATTGCATGGTTTAAATCAACCTGCTTTTCTCTAAAAGGTGTATGCGACAATGAGGAATTTGAAGTCAAAGTCCAACCTGGAAAAAGAAGCAGGAAACACCTTGAACAAGACACTCTTCATCCGGGAACTTGACGTGACCAAGGACCCGACTATCAAATCGGTTGTAGACGGGATTCTGCGAGACAACGGGAGAATCGACGTTCTTGGTGAGCAAACTTTCGTTTAAGCAGATAATATTAAAGGGTAGATGAAATGATTTTTTCTGAGATTTTTCTTGTGCTACTTTCTACTCTTCTTAAAAATATGAAAACGATTTGACATCCTTTTTTTGTTTATTTTATTCAAAAAAAATATTTAAACATTTAAATCGTTTTGTTCTTTTTGGACAACTGAGGGCGCTGTTGCCGTGATGTCATTCCAGGGAGACACTGTTCAGTTTAAGGGTTGTGTGTACAAATGTGAACCCAATGTGCTCATTGATAACATTTATGAGAAAGGTTTGCTCATTGGCTTACTGCAATGTACTAACACAACAACGAATCACCAAAGAAAAGAAAATTTTCAAAAGAGAAATATCCAAACTTCTGGCACTTTTTTGTGCTCAAACCAATTGCAACATTGAGGTTTCTGCCTGATATGACATCACGCTTTTGCTCATGAATATGGAAATTTTCATTAGCATAAAGACCAAAAAGGCGCCAAAATACCCTTGAAAACGGCAAAATGAAAATTGAAAATAAGGTTAAATAGGACACAAAGGTGCATTTTCAAGAATTACATTAAAAAAATTACATTTCATGGGCCATTCAAGGGACGATATGGGTGTGATGTTGAGGGAATCCTGCACCCGATTTCATCAAACTCTTCGTAACTTACGATGCATCGCAGCGATGCGACGTGTCGTATCTCTACGAGCTGCGACGCGTCCTGCAATCCATTTCACGAAACACGTCGTCAGTGCGACGCGTCGTAGGTGTACTTATAGCACAACTCGGTGACTGTTTTATGTATTTAGTCAGCGTCCAGTAAATAGTCGTCTGATATTCAACAAAGAGTCGTCGGATCTCAGCTCGAAATTTGTTAAAACGTAAAACAAAATGGTGGCCGTGCGATGCAATTTCGAAGGAAAACAAGCTCTCAGTGGACTGTATAGCTACTTTGAAATTTCAACTGCAATATTCCAGTCTAATTCATAATTATTCAATGAACTTTCTATTTACAACTTTACACACATTGCCTCGGTATTATAATCTCGATTTTGTAATGTTTATGGCAATAAATTGGCTTAGAAAGGGACTCTTCTTATTTTGCGATGACCACTAGACACGTCGTAACTTGCGACGTGTTTTAAGCCGTTGTCAAGGAACTTACGACGCGTTCAACACATCGCAACTTTCGTGAAATGGATGATACGACGCGTCGCGAGTTGCGACGTGTTACACTTCGTAACTCGAGTTGCGAAGCGTCCCAGCGCTTCGTGAAATCGGGTGCTGACCAGTGACATACTATTTACGTGGGTTTAATTAAAGAAGAATTATGACAATGATGTCCGTCTGTCAAAAACACTCGGACACAGAGGCGCAGCCAGCGGTGGTAAGCACCCCTTGCCTTATTTGCACACGATTGTGCCATGTGTGCATGATCATCGTATTTAAACAGCGCCCCATTGGAAGATATGGTACCCCCACCACCCCCTCCAACCCCCCCCCCCACCCCCTCCCCGCCATCCCTTTTTTATTTTACGGAGGCCAAGTGTCCGGAGACACTATATTTTTATTTCTTCACTATATTCTCTTCAACCAATCCCCAAACGGTTCATTTTCAGTGAACAACGCCGGCTACATGGCCTTAGATGGCATCGACCAACAGTCGTTAGAATGGTGCCAAGCTATGATGGATACCAACTACTGGGGAGTAGTAAGAACAACCAATGCCGTGTTACCAGCGATGAAGAAGCAGATGTCAGGCAGGATCATTAACGTTTCCAGTATTGTCGGCGTCAGTGGTAAACGTTGAATGCAACCACTATATGGGATACTACGGAAGCGTATTGAGGACATGACCAAAAAAAATTAAAAATTCTGACCCACCATTTTGCCCGGGCGAATTACTAAATTTCGCCCGGGCGGATGCTATTATTTTAATCCGCCCGGGCGAAACAGTGGGCCGGAATTTGTTTTTTGGTCATGCCTTAAAATACGCTTCCGTAATATTCGCTTTTAAGTAAAGACATCGGGCCAAAGAGTCGACCCACTTTTAGTCACAAATGTAGAAAACCTCATCGGTACATGGGTACATAAATACTGAAGACACATTAAAGGTGCATGACTTGATTGATACGGTGGAGATACGTTGTATGTGGATATGAATGAAAAAGGTGTTTTATACCAATAACCATACGAGTACAATTCTCACTGGGCATGTATTTTTTTTTTTTTAATGCTTTTAATTTGAAAACGACAGCACTGATCCTTGTGAAACTTATAGAAAGAATGTTAGTTTGATTGATGGTCCTTTATACAAGATGGGGACTGGGTAACATTATATGATGAAATCAGGCCTAGACCTTTAAAGATAATACATAAACTAATATATAGTCTACTATTAAAAGTTAGGAATGAGACTATCAATTGGGACTTTGTTGCTGTTTCCCTGATAGTATTTCTAAAGAGTGACAGTCCGAAGAAATCGAGAGACGAAACGTCTAGCATAATGACTCCCCCCAGTAATGCAGGGTTGGCTGATCTTATTTACGTTGTTTGGGGGGAGGGGCAAAATAAATTGATTTAGGATAATTTTAATCATTCAATCATTTAAATCGACTGATTCAACTTAATTACAAAGTGTTAGATGTTGTAGACACATTCAAACACTCCTACTTCATTAGCATCGACGCAAATTACGTGTAGGTTTGGCATAATTACCCGAAATCATTATTATGATTGAAGTCAAGATCTAAATTTAGCCTGAATGGTAATTTTTTTTTTTAAGTTTGAATTTCAAATTGTTATTGAATGTCAATGAATTGTTCATTCAGCGCTCTCACTTATACTAAGCCATTCCTTGATCTGTTTACAGAACAATGCTATTCAACTTTGCTGGTGTAGGCTTACTCAAATCGTCTATAGGTGTATTAAAAACTGGGCAGTATGGGGTCCGTGCGCGAACTAGAGGGCGCCCTTTTACCAAGCACCGACGTCCATTAGGCGGGACCATAAGTCTTACTAATGGAGATCAATGGGCGGGACCATAGAGTTATATCAAATTAATTTGAAATAGCTCTATGGGCGGGACACATACATTTCGCCTTGTGTGTGTCGCACGTACACCTGGGATTTCAACTATGTACACGCAGTGGCCGCGCTTCGCGGCAAAATATTGCAGTCAGGCAAGATGGCGTCGTTCGGTCACCCCCAACTGTACTTCTTTACTGGTGAGTGGGTACTTGTGAACGGAGCGGATTGTTGATGCTATTCAGTCACTTTTAATATTTTGCAACAAATGGTTTTTTTTGTTCAAGGTGCTCCGTTTTATGCTACCTATACTGCTACAAAGTTCGCCATGGAAGGATACTCCGAGTCCATTGCCCCAGTGTTGAGAGATGGATACAATATCAAGTACGGAAGCTAATTTTCAAATCTCTTTATTGGGGGGGGGGGGGGTGAAACTACTGTGTAGGACTGCGTCACTTTCAGTTCAAACACGAAATTCTGTAGATTTCTTTCTAAAATGACTTTAATGATGTTGCATATATTTTTATTAGAAACTCCGTTGTCAACAGTTTGTCCCCCCCCCCCCGTTTCCGCTCCTCTTTACCAAAACATTAGCTTGCACTCATAACCAGTGTCCTTTGAAACCGTACTACATTTTGTTTTGTCTAGATTGAGCATCGTTGAACCGGGGCCAGTCAAAACGGAGCTTTTTAACAAGGTCCTTGGTACACCGTTCGCAGAACAAGCCAAAGATTTTGACCCCATCTTGCGAGATTTAGTCGTCACAAATATGCAGCCCATGGCGTCTGCGATGGCTTCGGTAACCCAAAGCGCCGATGAGATAGCCAAGCTGCACATGGATATCATTCTGAGTGACAATCCTCACCTGCGCTATCAGACGTCCGAAGACTTGACGAAAAGGGCGGCCATGAAGCTTCGTGATCCGACCACAGATTTTCTCCTCGATATGCTCAAACAAAGCCGTTACGCTTCCCCTACAGAGTAGCGTCATGTAGTAAAGTCGCAACTGAAAGATAAGTTGCCAAGCAAGCGTATCTTTCTCAAGTTTGTCCATCTACTGGAGAGTTCATTATCAAAATGAGCACCAAAAAAAAAGAACAATTTGGTAACTTTTTCCATAAATGGCAATGAGGTCTGACACGAACAACAAATAAAGAAAACCAAGCCAAAAACAAATCGTCAAAATGACAGCAACAGAAAATGTACGTTTGGAATCGCCGCGTAGACAATGGAGGGCGATTGTTGAACCTTTGACGATTGGGTACTGTTTTGAAAGTCCATTACAGTGTACCGTCAAGCGTGCTGAAAAAAAAAAAGAAGTATTAAACCATTTACAGATTGACGATCGATAGCACTATACAGCCGTATGGTTGCCAAGGCCTTATAACACAGTAAATTCGGATTAACTTTGTTTAACAGCAAGGCCTAAAGCCTCGCCGTTGTTAAACAAAATTTATCCGATTACATACTTGGACGCTATAACAGAGTAGTGAAATTCATGCAGCCCCCCCCCCCCCAAAAAAAATGTGGGTTTTTTTACGTTGTGTTTCTCAGAAAATATGCTCTGTATGATTGAAAATGTTAAATTAGAACGGAAGACGAAATTCTAAGCTTCATGTCAGTGGAAAAAAATCGCCGTCATCGATGCCGAAACGTCAATACTGGTTACTGGTAAAGCTGACCTTAAAGTTGGGAACAAATCGTTCGAAAACGTTCCCAAATCTATGTAATTATCTCAATTTTAAGGAATTTCCTCAGGTTGTCATTTATTAATATTCCTTAATAATATTACCTTATTAACCTTAATAAGAACCTTATTAATATTCGTGAGGCTTGAAAAGATTGACAGCACAAGTCCTTTACCATGTGTAAGGGTTTTTCCCCTATAATGCAAGCCTAGTAAATTAGGGCATTTGTTCGTTCTTAGTGCTAAGAATTTGATTTGATTTTCCCCTCTGCCGACATCAAGTGCTGAATAAGCCGCAGACTAAGACTTTGATTTTAACCCCCCCCCCCGACTTCAAAAGCTGAATTCGCCACTGCTGTACACTTACCGATGCCCATTCAGTGGCGACGCATCATGCAAGATATGGTCAGATAATCCGTCACAGGGCACTTGCTTTGTATTTTACCTTCCATAAAACTTTTGCCTTTGGAGTGGGCCTCATTAAAATGTTCATTGATAGGGCGTTTGGATTCGTCAGTTATTTTCATACCATTCAGAACTTCAGGACTAAGAAAAAACCCGCAAAGGTCAGAAAGGTATATCGTTACTCTTCGTTACAAGTAATTTAACTATTGCCTGCTTTTCGAGCTTAAGCATTAATTGCTTTATTGTGATTAAAATCAAGGAAGTATTGATTGCATGGCTGTGTTCCAAGCTGGTGTTTTTATTTGGTTTTCCTTTAACACTTTCGATCACTGTCGAGCCTTTATTAGACTCCAGTCCCTCCGATCCGTCATCCCTTCGATCCGTCATCGCATGGTTTGGTAGTGTATCATTAGAAATGGTACGCGTGCGGAATACAACAAGTCACTTGTTAGATGATCAGAGTTTGCTTTGGTAATAGGTAACGGCTTCAAATATGCTGAATCACGCATCATTCCTAATCCTCTTATTTGTTCTTACAAAATCAGATAAGGCTTGGGGAAAAATGCTTATTCCATAGTCAATATCACAGCGCGTTGAGAAACTGTGTATAACTTACCCGCCACCCCCCCCCCCCCCCCCCCCCCCCGCTCCCTTGTGGCGATGCCCATGTTTGTCTATTTCAGTCAATCCAGTCAGTGAGCAGTTTGCATCAGTTTAATTCATTTTCATGAGTAAACATTGTTAGACATAGTTGAGAGTGTCTGTAGAGCATTTAGAATGTGATGGCTGACGAACCCATTTTTAGGATACCTACTGTACCTTTTGACTGAGATACAGAGAGCCATTACGACTGTCAGCTGACAGGCCTGTGTGGAAACTAGTGGAATTCATGTATTACATCTGGTTTTTTTCCAAAAACTGTTGAGTCTCAGGATTCCAGGTTTGTGGCATCTTGTTGCCCTACTCAGCAGCTTTTCAACAACCGTTATAGTTAGTCTGAAAAAAATTCAACTTTAAGGTACCTTTCTGACTGAGACATAGAGAGCCAAAAACTGCTCTCACAGGCCTCGCTATGTAATTTACTGCACAAAACGAACATATTTCGATAACAGTTATTGCCATATAGTCTTTGGCCAGTTATATAATAATACACTTTGGCCATAAAGTTATATAACAATACAACGTATAATCGAGCTCGAGTCAATACCTTTAATCCTACAAACAACCCGCTCATTCCTGCTTAACCGAGTACATGTAGAAGCAACTCCAACAGCAAAGCTCTGCAGTTGGAATCAGAAGCCTGCTGTAGACAAGACCGGGGCAGAACAAGAAGAGAGTCCTGCCAAAGAAAATGGCACCTCAGACCGTACTAATCACTGGGTGCTCGTCGGGCATCGGTTTAGCCACGGCACTCGTGCTAGCCAAAGACGAGCTTAGCAGATTCAAGGTAGGTAGCCTATGCCGGTACCAATGCCCGTCGCGTTATCAACATTAAATTGTGTCTTTCTGAAATTCCTTTTTCTGAACTATAGTGGGACTCGGTAAATTTGGGTGCAGTTCTGCCTGTTTGATTTTGCCCAGTAGGAACCGTTTTACAAACGATGTCATGGAACCACTTTCGTGGGGATGACAACAAAATATCTACATATACCATCCGCCAAATCGAAGAGCGAATAGGGAAGGGCTGGACGCCTCGAGGGCACTGTTTTCAAGCGGAAGATCTCCACGGACAAACAAGCCGGACAAATTTGCAAACGTGACACCGATTTTGCCGACAAAAAAAAAAGATTTATCGAGCTGTCACCCTCTCCCATTGAGGAAATTCACGTGACTCTACAGGCCAGTGCCAAGCTCTCCCGCCATAGGCCTACAGGGTGAGTAAAAAAATGGAAACCCAAAGAGCAGGACAATTTTGTAATGAACTTCTGCAAGTAGCACTTTCGAAATCAAGGATATGAAACCCCAATTAATAAGCTTTCTTTTAGTACATAAATCATTCATATACGTATTTTTCAAGTTAGGGAATCTTAAATACAAAGTTAACACCGTTTTAAAGTTCTGTCCACGGATCACACTCTCAGCAAAACGAAAACAGTTAGCGTACATCCCTTTCGTTTTGCTGAAATAAAACTGACCTTTTTTGTGTTCGGTGGACAGAACTAAAAACGGTGGTTTTGTTTAAAATCCCGTAATTTGAAAAGTGCATGAGTGATTTGAATGATTCCCGTTCTAAAAGAAAGCTTATTAATTGGCTTTCGTATTCTAGATTTTGAAAGCGCTACATGTCGAATCATTAAACAGATCACTAACAGAATTTTCAACAAGGCCGTTTTAAATTGTCTTGCCATTTGGGTTTCCTTTTCTTTTTTACTCACCCTGCATTGGACGTCTACGGTTGCAGACTAGTAAATAAACTGCCGTAGACCCTAGTGTTAATTGCACGCCCCCTTCCGATATTGAAAAGAACTATTTACAACTCTCCAATGTACTTGAGACACATATCAAAATAGGGCTTATTTCATCATCTTTCAATCGTTAAATGTTTCGGGGGTTCATCTTGCACCAACGTCTTGCACCAACACTATCATCCAATAAGAGGAGTAAATGAGCGTGCTATACATGTTATCCACACTGTATAAATAACAGGGAGAGACATACGACGTTGTGGTGATCGGTGCTAGTGCCGGGGCTGACTAGGATGTATTTGTTTAACTTCAAAGAATCTGTGCTCTTTGGTTGAGTTAAATTAGCAACACATGGATCCTGCACTGCTTGACCTTAATCTGCAATGCATAGGCTGTTCGCCAATATCGCCTTGATCAATCCTCTCATCAGCAATGCACGACCTAATGCTGCATTACAGCAACGTTTAACGAATTTTCATCACACAAAGTTCAAGGCTTCGTTCATTCTGATTTACCATGAAAGGTGTACGCGACAATGAGGAATTTGAAGTCCAAGTCCAACCTGGAAAAAGAAGCAGGGGACACCTTGAACAAGACACTCTTCATCCGGGAACTTGACGTGACCAAAGACCCGACTATCAAATCGGTGGTAGACGGGATTCTGGGAGAAAGCGGGAGAATCGACGTTCTCAGTGAGTAGGCTAAACGTCCAACGATCTAAGTACGACGTAGATGGAATCACGACCAGAAATGGCATTTTTCGCGGGTTTTATAAAGTAGGCAAAGAAGCCGTTGAGTATTGATATTCCCACTGATCTATAAGTAGCAACATATTATTCCACTATATTATATTAAAGGATGTAAGATCTAACCTTACGACCAAAAATGGACACTGCGTGGTAAGTTTGCTTTCTGCTATCCATTCCAACATTTTGACATGTTTTGTTTGACTTTGGCTTATCTAGATCCCAGCTACACAAAGCAAACAATGACAACGCAAAATAGTCGTATTTGGGTGCTGTTCGATCACGAAGCGGACAATTTGCTCATACCCACCGCCCTTAAACAGGGCGCCGTGAAGGGGCTAATTTCTTTGGGAAGCATGAAGTAATTTCTTCGAGTCCCATTTGGATAGAATTTGTTTGAACAATAACACGGTTCGATCCTTCGGCTTGTGCATGAAATGCGCGCCTGTGCTTCCTCCAAAAAATGTTGTGCAAGAGATTGGCCCTTTCCCATCGCCCTGTTAATTTTTAGGGTGGTGGGTACGAGCGAAAGTGGACGATTGTGATAAGTATCGGACAATAGGTGGCGCTCCTCATGGCGGTGCGCTGGGAGACCAGGCGCTAACGCCAAGTCCGTGCGGTCTGTTCTTCACACGGATAGGTGGTGTGTGATCCTGTTCCGAGTGCAGTGTTTGTGGGTCGTATTCCCACCATTAGAGCGCGAGAACAATGTACCCGTGTCAAGAGCAGACCGCCCGAACTCGGCCTTAGCAACACCATTCCGTTCAATAGAAGGGTGCACCCCTGTATACAAATTCCATTGACACCAATGATAAATCCCAATACTTCAAAATTATTCCAAAATACTCAGAACGTTCACAGGTGTTCAGGCTGCACAGAAAAATGATGATCAACATGTCATCGTTCATTTTCCTTTCAATATATGTAGCGTTGACCGATGACTTTTTGGAGAAATTTTACCCAAAAGAAAAACGCCACTAAAACGAACGATTTCCCGAACTGCATGGAAAAGTAGCCACTATTTTTGTAAAAGGATCCCTCCACAGCTTGGCTAAAAAGCGCAACTTTCGGACCCACTTGCACCCAAACTGTTCAGAATTGGAAGCTCCAAGTTCAGGGCAGAGGTCCAGTATAATATATGTCTTCAATTCCCCAATTCCATAGATCTAAGAACTCTCTAATATAGACTAACTTGGCCTATTCATTGTACCCACAAATGACCGTTGTGTTTGCCGCCCCAAGCGTCTCAAAAGTCGTTCACGTGACCTTGTAAAAACGGCATTCGTGCAAGGGAATTAGTGACCAAGTATGCCACCTTAGCCCCTCCCTGGCTTGAACGCTACACAACTTTTTCGTGCAGTGGAAAAGCAGCAATTAAACATTCTGCAGACCTGGTTAGGGCCCAGTAAGTGATTTTCTTTAAAGTATTAAGTTTTTTCTTCACAATGTTCCAGCAATGCTTTACTGGTTGTTTTTTTTTTCCAGTAAACAACGCCGGCTACATGTCCTTAGATGCCATCGACCAGCGGTCATTAGAGTGGTGCCAGGCTATGATGGATACCAACTACTGGGGAGTAGTAAGAACAACCAATGCCGTGTTACCAGCGATGAAGAAGCAGATGTCAGGCAGGATCATAAATGTTTCCAGTATGGCCGGCGTCCGAGGTAAGTAGTAATGGTATAGTCCGTCGAAACCACGATGACGTCTTCATAAATTGCCAAAAGTCAGAACGTAAAAGATTATTTTTTAAGTACACGTGATCAAACATGGCTTTGTAGGCCGAATTCATAGGCGCATCATCTCCCACAGACCTCAAAGGAATCCCCGCCTAGCCGGCGTATTTCTTTTTCCTAGGAGGGATGAGGCCAAGTCATGCATAATTCAGTTTTTCCATGGAATCATTGCAATACACTTAGGTTCTCGTTCTCTTTTTTGTCCCTTAAATAAAAAAAATTTCTCAACGATCAATTTAGAGAAGAAAAACAGTCCGTGAAAATGATCAGCAACGACGTGGATTCGAACCAGGGATCTTTGTATCCACTGGTTGACTAAATAACAACAAAGCTCTTGACATCATTGTTCTGTTCTCATGAATAAACATACAGGCCCGATCGAAACTATTGTATTAATCATGACTTGGCCCAGACCGTCCTGGGAATAAACTGTACGCAAGCCAAAGTCTGCGCAACTCCCGAGCCAGCTTACGCGCAGTCTCGAAGACTTGGACGGCCTGATGACACCTGACACGCCACAAACTGCGGGTAACTGCAAGATTTTCGAGCTGCTCTGCTGGATGCAACCACTGAGGGGGCAATTTTCGTTATTTCAGTTCAACGGAGAGTTACTCTTAAATAGTAAACAAATTCCCACACGGGATGAGTACTTCATATTTTGGTTGACATTGAATCTTATGACAAATATATTTAAACTCTTGTGAAATTAATTGTAGGCCTATTGTTAAAACAAAATGTATGGACCAGACGATTTATTGCCACGAAGATCTGTATCTGTATCTGTATTTGTATCTGTATCATTTTCCTCCAGCAAAACGGCTACAGCCGCGTCCGGCTAAAGTAATGAAAAGCCATGGGATGAAAAGCCATGATGCTAAACTTATAGTTCATCGTGTTCCTGGATCTTTCATGCTTTAGACGGCAACATTGTTGTAAAGTTAAGAACTGGGCATTACTGGTTGATGGTATTCTGTCGTTGATAGTATTTTGCAAGAAACTATCTATTCATTTTTTCCCCAGCCGTTCCTTTTTATGCTACGTACTCTGCCGCTAAGTTCGCTGTTGAAGGATTCTCCGAGTCCATTGCCCCGGTGTTGAGAGATGGATACAATATCAGGTATGGAAGCTATTTATCACTTGTTTTATTGGACTTGAATTTTCCTTCAACACCCAAGCCACCTAAACCCCGATTAGGAAAACTATGGATCCGCCTGTGCACGCACAGTGTACAGTACTTCTACTTTGAGAGTTATACGTACATTTTTTTTGTAAACAGCTAATTGATACACACATTTTTAAGTGGTCTTTGAAACCAACCGTGCTGTATTTTTTGTCTAGGGTGAGCATCGTTGAACCGGGGCCAGTCAAGACGGAGCTTTTCAACAAGGTCCTTGGTACACCGTTTGAAGAACAAGCCAAAGATTTCGACCCCGTCCTGCGAGAAGTATTCCTTACAAATGTAAAGCGCATGATGACGTCTGCGATGCTTTCGGTAACTCAAAGCGCTGATGAGATAGCCAAGCTGCACATGGATATCATTCTGAGTGAGAAACCTCACCTGCGCTATCAGACGACCGAAAACCTGACAAAAGCGGCAGCCGAGAAGCTTCGAGATCCAACCACGGATTTTCTCCTCGAAATGCTTGAGCAAGCTCAAGACAGGTATTCTGCAAAGTAGCGTCATGTAGGCCTATAGTAAAGTCGCAACTGAACAATCTGTTGCCAAGAGAATTGGGTTTAGTTACGTTTTTTTCATCTGCCACAGTGGAAATTATCAAATTTAGCAAAAGACCAAAACAGCCTAGTTTGTTGAATCGATTTGTTAAAAATTAAAGCTAGGTCTAAATTGCGTGTGTGGGAAAGTATTAAATCTTTACTTAATGCAGTAATTAAGTAGTCGTCTCCTCAAAGATAGACCTGCGACAATGGTCACGCCCGCTTGGTTTACACTCTGTGCTGTCCTATTAGTGTGGTAGGTTGGTCCTAAGTCCCATTGGTCCGAAGTCCCATTGGTCCGAAACATAATACTGTGTAGTTCCACTTGTTCAGATTGACTGACCCTAACCCTAGCCCTAATTCTATGGGGCGTCGGACCAATGGGACTTCGGACCAATAGGACTTCTGACCATTGGTACTTTGGACCAATGGGACGTCGGACCAATGGGACGCTTATACCAATGAAACGTATCGAGCAATGGGCCGTCGGACCAATGGGACTTTGGACCAATGGGACTTTGGACCAATGGGACTTTGGACCAATGGGACTTTGGACCAATGGGACTTTGGACCAATGGGACTTTGGACCAATGGGACTTCGGACCAATGGGACTTCGGACTAAAGAGACGTCCCCGCTTTTAGTAGACATGATTGTAAACACAGCATGACGTCATTATGTCGCAGGTCCGTAGCTTTCTTTTTTGGTACATTTTGTCATGTTTGAATGATTATACCTTGAAGCCTTTTCTAGTTTTGTCCCCGTCACTTCAACTTTTTTTAAGGAAGCTTCTGTGTAAGATTCCGGTAAATACCTGACTCTTGGAGCTCAAGAAACAATGACGTCACGTACGTGCTTTACAGATCATTCCCAGCACGCTATCAAGCACTGTACACTCCTGGTGGCCCCCTCAGTGGCGAAAGCATCGTGCCAGCTATAAATGGTCAGATAATCCGTCATGTGGCAATTGCTTTGTATAGACCTTTCTACTCTCGGTTGGCAAACTGCATTTTTGCCAACCATGGGTTGCAAAAGACTAGTATGGAAGACCTAACGCTGCAAAAATGAAGAAGAGTTATTAAAGAAAACTAAAACATTATTTGATTGTTGGAAATATAACATTGTCTACAAACAACAACATCATTACTACACATGCCTTTTGACTATGTATTGAAGGTGCAATGAGGACGTTTTCTGGAAAAATAAGGCCAACCCCGGCTTCAATTTATGTGCCTTGCGGCAGTCCATAGAAAATGGCATCAATGTTTACAAACAAAAGAAAGGTCTATTATACACCTTATTCACGAGAAAGCCATTTTGGACGGGTTCCCTGAATGTATTTTATTGATTGGGAACTGTTGAATGGGATGGTGCCAGACTACTTATACATTCTAGCCTCACTTTCATTGTTTTTTTGTAGCTGCTTAAAACATATAAAGGGTATGTTTAAATCACAAATTTAAAATTATTCAATAGAGCAGACAGGTATAACGTGTAATTAAGTCATTGCTAATTTCATTTCTCTTCGCAAGTTCCAGAAATGAAGATTTTACCTCACCTTAAATTCAATATTGCCGACTCGTGACTAAGGCCCATAGTTTGCCAAAGTACTTCCGCCATTTCAGGTGGCCTCCGTGAATGTTCAATGATAACGTGTTTGTATTCGTCAGTTATGATCATTTTCATACCATTCAGAACTAGAGGTCTAAAAAGAAAAGACGCAAAGGCCAGCAAACTAAGCCACATTTAGTTCCTCATTACAGTTAAAACTATATCTTGGGTTATAACTATCGCCTGCTTGTTGAGTTTAAGCATTGTTTCATTGTGATTAAAACCAATCAAGTATTGATTGCATCTGGTATTATATTTAGTATTCCTTTAACATTTTCAGTCAAAATGTGGTAGGTTTGTTTTTTTGTTATCAAGAAGATCCAGAAAAGTCGTCCTGCGAACAGATTATTCCTTATTTCCAATAAAAATCCGATTTTACCCAATATTAATTATACACAATGTCTAGCCGTGTGGTTCACTGTGGGTATTTTAAAAGCAGGAGACCTGAGCTATCCTGAGCGAAATATTTCTTGACATATTTCCCAAAAAAGCTGATCTCATTTGTAAATCTAAAGTGTACTGCAGGCCGAAAACGGACGATATTAGCCCGAGCAAACCAAAATAATCCAAGGGTGATACCTCTGGAAAACATTTATGAATTTCGCAGTTTCGAATATGCTGAGCCTTGTGAACATTTGACAGGGTCGGCCAATCTTTCTTCCAAAGCATTAAAAACAAAATATTTGAAATCCGCTGTTTCATGTGAGCAATTAGGTCGGGTCAGCCAAACTCTACTCAATTCCCGATGGAAGAAGCTTGTTGGCTTGGCCCGTTTGCAGCATTTACAATCGGGCAGCTGACCTTTTTTTTCAGCGTCAGCAGACTGTAGTATAGTACAATTCGTCAAGCTCGAGTTAATAATTAACGGTTTCAAATTGCTGTGTCACCGATAATTCTTATATGATTTGTGTCCCCAAAAGACACATGATAAGGTCCAATCGGGCTTTATGGGGGAAAATGCATGCTCATATCACTCTGGCAATATCAAAGTACATGTAGGCACTTTGTATAAAGCACTTCATTCCAGAAGCAACTTGCAACAGCAAAACTACCTGCGTTGAATTAAGTGGTCGCGGCATAAAAAAAAGATCCTGCAACAAACATGGCGCCGCAGACCGTACTCATCACTGGGTGCTCGACAGGGATCGGTTTTGCCACGGCCCTCATGCTAGCCAAAGACAAGCTTACCAGATTCAAGGTAGGTATACCGGTACAAATGCCATCGCCTTATGAACTTTGTTCTCTAAATGCGCTCCTTATTTTTGAACTATTAGTTCACTCAGGAAAGTTCTGGTGCAGGTGCATGTATATATAGATGGCTTCGAGTTTGGCGACCAAGGGTTTGACTGGCGATGACATATACCGGCACCCACTAGAGGATTGAGCACAGGTGGTTTTTTTTTTAGAAAACCCTGAAGAAGAGTAGAACATTTTGTTGAGGTGATCGGTAGCCGGGCTGGTTTGGTTCTGGATGTTTGGTTTTCAGTATGAAATGAATCAAGTAAGCCATGTGATGATATAACCAAACTGTCATTTGAGTTATCGCTGTATGCTTGCTAAATTGTAAATAAGCCTATAGGCAAATAGACCTGAGCCGTAATGACGTGATGGCTTTGCTTACATATGCGCTTTCCTATGGGAGCGAAGTCGGGACACCGGATAAAGTGGGGACCGTCTACTACACAGGAAAGCGCACATGTAAACAAAGCGTGACGTCATTACGTCTTAGGCCTATTGTCACTACTGATCATCGATATCTGCACCAATGGTTGAGATAAAATGTATTGAATTTTCCAATGGAACATATTGAGGGCATTAATTTTGTGTGTCAAAAAGTGTCGATAAATCGGTGAAATAGAAAACAAACTTCAAAATCTTTATACATGTATTATTCATATTCATGATTTCTTTAGAAAATGTGCACTGTTTTAGTTTGGTAATATTCTTCACACAATTTCATGGTTTAATTCAATTTGGATTGCCCTGAAAGATGTGTGCTGCTAATAGGAATTTGAAATTAAAGACCACCCTAAAAAAAACCACTTTGTGCTATTCTACCGTCTTTCGCAAAAATACACGAAATTTATATATTTAACTTGTATGTATTCATTGCTGCGTATCTATCATTTATATATTTTTGCCAATAAACGCGTGTAAAAAATTTTCATCGCACAAAATTCAAGATTTCAAGCAACCTAATTTCCCCTAAAAGGTGTACGCGACAATGAGGAATTTGGAGTCAAGAGCCAACCTGGAAAAAGAAGCAGGGAGCACCTTGAACAAGACACTCTTCATCCGGGAACTCGACGTGACCAAGGACCCGACTATCAAATCGGTGGTAGACGAGATTCTGCGAGACAATGGAAGAATCGACGTTCTCGGTGAGCAAACATCCGTTTATGAAAACAAGTCATGAATGATACAAACCCATCTCCTACGATCTGGGTGCGATGTTGAGGGCATCCTGTCCAGCCTACAATTTTCATGGGTTTAATAAAGCAATTCTTTAAACATTGATATTCCCAATTAACTGATTTTAGGTTTAAATAAGCAAAATTTTATTCAACTGTATTTTAATGGACTGTGATTTAACCTTACGTCCATAATGAATATTGCCGTCGTGAATTTACTGCCTGGATTGATTTCTTCCACCGATTTTGCCTAAGTTATATGAAGGGTCATAGCAAATATGAGTCCGTTTTCACTTATATACCCTTCTTGCAGTAAAGAGGATAAAAAGCACTAGCTTAAGATTCTTGACCTTACTATGCCCGGTTACCGGTGACGGCCTTTATCTCTTCCTGATAATAGTTTTAAGGTGTTTTTTTATTACTCTGTTCCCCCAATGCCCAACTGGTTCATTTTAATTCAGTGAACAACGCTGGCTACATGGCCTTAGATGCTATCGACCAGAAGTCGGTAGAATGGTGCCAAGTTATGATGGATACCAACTACTGGGGAGTAGTAAGAACAACCAATGCCGTGTTACCAGCGATGAAGAAGCAGATGTCAGGCCGGATCATTAACGTTTCCAGTATGGCCGGCGTCCGAGGTAAACGTTGAATGCAGCTACTGAATGGGCAACTTTTGTTATTGATAGATCAGTTGATCCTGTTCAACCAATTATAGATGTACTTTCTACGCTTTTTGGAATTTTTTTTTCCAGTTCAGGCTATTTTTGTAGCAACTCAAAAGTAATTCTTTTTTTGAATGAGACATCGAGCCCAAAAATCGACTTACTGTTTTACAAACTTTGAATTATGTGCAACCCAACAATAGTCAGTTTTCGTTGGGTTGATTGGAACTAGTCTATACGCGCAGGGAGGATTCGCGCAAAAGCAAGCCAAAAAACTGCCTCTGTTTAATTACCCAAAAATGGGAAAATAACGTTTTAAGGTATTTAAAACTGTTACTGAAAACGATCAAATTTGTTGAAGAAGTAGCTCTTTAACTAGTATGTTGTACAGTCAGCAGAGTTAACCGTGGTCTTGTATAGTTAAACGCGTTAACTATATATGGTCACTTATATGACTAACACATTTCAAGTGGGGGACTGGGGGCGACGATTTTTTTTATGGGGGCATGGCATGGGGGAGCACTCCCCCCCCCCCTAAAAAAAGGGTGCACCCCCCCCTAAAAAAAGGGTGCACCCCCCCCCCCCCCCCCCCCGGCTACGCCGCAGTGAACAGTTGCATGTATGGGGCGATTAATTCATGTTTTTTGGCATTGTGTTTATGACAAATAAATTATGTTTATAACGTTCCTGCATTTTTCTATTTAAATAAAAATGTTGAACAGACAATTTAAAGTGAAAAGTTACTAAGTTGAATTTCAAGAGATGCAACGAAGACATTACTGGCGAGGAAACTCATGATGCTAAACGTCTCGTCTCTCGTTTACTTCGGATTGTCACTCTTTGGAACTTCCTGTACTACCAGAGAGACGGCAACTTCGCTGTGAAGTTCAGCACTGGGTAGTATTAACGGATGGTATTATGTCGCTGTTGATATCTTACAACAAACCATGTTTATATATTAACTTGTTCTAGGTGCTCCGTTTTTTGCTACCTACTCTGCTACCAAGTTCGCCATGGAAGGATACTCCGAGTCCATTGCTCCAGTGTTGAGAGACGGATACAATATCAAGTATGGAAGCTGTTTATCAAATCTTTTTAAAAATTAAAAAAAAAATGCTCAACTTCAACCCTAAATTAAATACTCCAAACACATGTGTTGTTGAGTTTGTCTTACATGTGAACAAAAGATCTACACATAATGCAGGTTGTGTCGACGTTATGTGGACTAAGCCGTGTCCATATAACGTTTCGCACAGTCGTGTTTTACCAAAAGCCTGAGGACAACCTATTGTGTTTCCCTTTGTCCCTCTAATATAACACTTTCCCATAGACTAAGCACATAACCGTACGATCGAGGACCGGTTTTAACAATAGGCACCGTCGTCCGAGGGTCAAAGGCTCCTTTGTGCCCCTTTTGTTGTCTGTCCTCGAGCGTAATACAATACAAGAGCGCATTCTCTGGAAAACAGGTTTAGAGGCATTTTCGGCTAATAAGGTTATCCGTCGCAGAATGAAGAGAAACATTCAAGGAAATCAAAAAATAAATTTGAGGTTGAAAGAGTTTCGCAGTTTAAGTAAAGTTATTTTTGTACTGAGTTTTCTTAACTACACGAAAACAAAGGAATGTCCATAAACAGTATGTAAAACAAACGTGTGTGTTGGTGTGTACTGTGTGTGTGTGTTTTTTCTGCGCGCTAGAACAGTTCACATCAAAGTGAAAAGGGAACAAGCCAAGGGATGGGGGGGGGGGGGGCAAGATGGGTGGTTGGAATGACCCTCTTTCTCTGACTAACCAATGTTGAATTATATACAAAATTGAAAATATATTCCCATATTTCCCTGAATGCATCTCTCATTATTTAAACTAAGAAATCATTGGTCTTTTCATGCGTTAACTGCAATTCCCCATTTGCCCCCTTGATAAAATGTTGCCCTTCAACACGAACCCCATGCACTCCAACCTACTGCATGTTCAGTGTACATGTCTCCTGTTATGCGTGGCAGTTATACATGAACAAGAGTAAATTAACAAAACATTTTAATGTCCTTTGAAACTTTACTGTATTTTGTTTTGTCTAGGGTGAGCATCGTTGAACCGGGGCCAGTCAAGACGGAGCTTGCCAACAAGGTCCTTGGTACACCGTTCGAAGAACAAGCCAAAGATTTTGACCCCATCTTGCGAGATGTATTCGTCACAGGCGTCAAGCGCATGGCGTCTGCGATGGCTTCGGTAACTCAAAGCGCCGATGAGATAGCCAAGCTGCACATGGATATCATTCTGAGTGAGACTCCTCACCTGCGCTATCAGACGACAGAAAACTTGACTAAAACGGCGGCCCTAAAGTTTCGCGATCCCACCACGGATTTTCTCCTCGATATGCTCAAGCAAAGCCGTTACGCTTCCCCTGCAGAGTAGTGTCATGTAGTAAAGTCGCAAATGAAAGATTAGTTGCTAAGAGTGTACTGTAAGAACACCTAGTTAGATTTCACTAAAAACATTCAAACGCGCACCCAGCTGACTACAGCACTTTGACTGATTTAGTCAAATGTAAGTGTTTTATAACTTTCTTAGAGATAGAAAATTTTCAAAATGCACAAAAGGCCAAAATAGCCACGTGTGTCGAATTAAACAAAATTAAAACAAGGCCTAAATTAAATGTTTGGGAAAGTGTCAAATCTTTGTGTGGTGCTGGTCTGCTGATATTAAGTTATCTCAATGTAGCAGTTACCAAGTTGCCTTTTTGTAGATAGACCTGATACATAATGACGTCAGGCTTTGACAACGTGTGCATTCCTAGGTTTGGAGGTAGGTTGGGAAAGGGAGCCATCAAGCTTCCATAAGAAGACACACTTGAATACAAAGCATGGCGTCACTATCTCTCAGGTCTGTAGGCCCATAGCTTTCTTTATTGGTATATTTTGTCATGTTTTTCATTATTATATACCTTGTAGCTATTTTGTCCCCGTCACTTCAATTTTGTTTAAGCGTTTGTGTATAGTAAATATCCGACTCCTGTTGCTCAATGAACAAATGACGTGCTTTACAGACCGTTCCGAGCACGCTATCAAGCACTGTACACTCACGGAGGCCCCCTTCAATGGAGAAAGCATCGTGCCAGCTATAAATGGTCAGATAATACATCACGTGGCAATTGCTTTGTATTGTAGCTTGCACAAATACCATCGCCATTATGGAGGGGGCCTCCCTGAATGTTCAATGACACCGTGTTTGGATTCGTTGATTATTATTTTCATAACCAGGAAAGGCTAGAGAGGTATCTTCGGCTCTTCATTACAATTAACACTATTTCTTGTGTTAAACCTATTGCCCGTTCTTGGATGGAAGTGCATTGTTTTATTGTGATTCAAATCAATCAAGTACAACACGTTGTACTCCGTCATCTCCTGATGATCGGCAACCTTTCTTTCAATTCAGACACGAAACTGCCGGGTTAATCGTGGTCCGTGTGAAGCCTGCTACCCCCCTCCCCTCACTCCCTCCCCAAATAAAAATAAAAAATAAATAAAGAATAAACTAAAATTTAAAAAAGAAAATAGCACGGGTTGACCGAACCTTCTTCAATTTCGGACTGGAGTAGAATTTCATGATAAAAGAATTGTCGGTGACCGGACTGCCGGAAAGTAGAGGATGTGTTAGCCAACCTTTTTTATTCTTCGGAAAAAGGAGTACGAGTTTTATCAATTTTTGTTCAGAACTTTATTTTGGTTAAGAACTTTCTTTCGGTTCCAAATGTCCTTGCAAACATTTGTTTCTTACAGTTTCGATGTTTTTACCAAACAATCACCAAATCTGTGTTTACATCCTACCTTTTTTGTCAGCTAACAACAGAATTGGTGGTTTATGTAATAGACCGTGGCGAAAGCCACGGTCTATTTCATATGAACAAATTCGCTCATTAAAGGGGCACTAGGTCCTGAGATCCCCGAAAAGTTCATGTTTTGGATTAGGACTAGCACCCAAACACAGCCATATGGTTACGAAAGCAAAGCGTCCATCGTTGTCAAGGAAAGCCGATCCGATTACGTACTAAGACGCTGTATTACATTGAAATTCGTGAACCCCAAAAACATGGCCTTTTGAACCTTGTGTTTCTCAAAAATATGCTCGGTATGATTGAAATGTTACATTCTAACTAAAGAAGAAATTCTAAATTTCATATCAGTGAAAAAATCGCCGTCATCGATGCCGAAACGTCGATAATGGTTACTATTAAAGTTGACCTTCAAGTCTGGAAGAAATCGTTCAAAAAATTCCCTAAATGTATGTATTTATCCCAATTTTAGGAATTCACCCAAGTTGTTGTTTCACGAGTAGTTGAACACTTATATCATCTAAGTATATTCCGAATTTCAGCTTAATCTGTTGTTGCGGACGCTATTGTTACAAATGGGACCATGTCCAAGGAAAATTTCGAAGAGGATCAAAAAAATTATTTCTGACCCAACCCTTGTGCATTGTTCAGCAAGCGCTGTAGGCGCTACGGTGTACTGATTTCGGCAAAGCAACACAATAACGTATGGTAGATTAGCATATTCATTAGCTTGGCGTGACTTGGCGGGGGTCTCGGTATCGACCAATAGAAGCCGACAAAAAGGGTGATTTTGTTAATTAACAACGCGTGAAGGAGGCTTTTATGCAATTGTTTACTGCACACCGTATTCATGAGGCTTGAAAAGATTGATAGATATTGGGCACGCCAGTGCTACAATTTTCAAAATTGCACGTAGCCAGGCCTGTTTTTTCAATTTCAAACGAAACGTATGAACATTTCACAACGACTTTTAGCAAATACTTGGATCATTTTAGGGGAAATAAATCCTGAAAGTTGCATGAAGATACGGTTTTCCAAACGGGAGAACTTAATTTTCAAAGATTTTACCTGCCAACGTGAACATATTTGTGTACATGAAGTTTCATTCAAAATAAAGTGTTACGTAACCTTTAAAAATCGCCCTTCGCAACAATATGGCTGAACAGCTCGACTTTTTGGGGTCGCAAATGTGGACCCCGAAAGTCGTTCTCGCACGCATAATACAAGAATAACACCAAAAAAACCCAAGTTTTAAAGGATAGTTGTATGGATATCTATAACCTATTTTTAAATGTTCTTTTTACGATTAACGTCATTTCATTCAAAGCGCGTTTTGTAGCCCATTTTGGGCTGTTCCAGGACGCAGTATCCCTTTAATTAGGCAAGGCAACCGGATTTTGACCTCTAGATTTGACCAGTCAGCGGGCGCTTTCTATGTCGGGTCTTCCATCATTCACCTTTGTCGCGTCTAGACATGGATAAAAATAACCCCGCCCAGACACAGCAACAAAGGCTTTGGTCACGAACTATTATGTTACTCGACACGTTCGCGCGGGTATGTTGTTGCATTGCAAAACCGTTCGAATTGACCTATCAAACCATTAGTCCTGATTTGGGAATGAAAATGACGATTTAGTAAAATCGACTCCGATTGGCTGGCGCGCGGCTTGCATGTATCTGCATGATTAGACATATCTGACGTACACAGGAGATTCTATGGGCGGCCAATAGGGCAACAAATACCCCCCAAAAATATAATACTAGAGATTTGCGTTTGTTGAGTTACAGATAGGGCCACATTTTCATAGGAACGTGCCCAGTGTACTTGTGAATATCGTAACAGAAAGAGGATCACGAAATTTAACCTTTTGAGAAGTACGATATGTGTTTAATTTTGGAAGGAAAAAAAAACTTTTTTGGAGTAAGATAAATTCGAGTATAGAAATACATGGAATTTCCGGTTTGATGACATCATAATTTAAATTGTACAAAATGAATACTGATTTAGTTAAAAGAGGATACATATTCATCTAAAAGTGAAAAGAAATTGTGAAAATAAAGGAAATGTAATGAATGTTGAAGTGTTTGTATTATTAAACTATTTTAGTGACGTCACATTATTGTTAAAAGTGTAATCTTTACTCTGTACATTTTTACAAATCGACATCAAAAATCCCATGAACCGTTTGGAAGAAATTTGGTTCTTTTTTTATTTTGATCAAGGTCAATAAAGTTAAGTGCAAAGTTAAAAATTCATGAAGTACGTATGAACAACGAACATATAGTGGACACGGATCACATGATGAATTAAAATTTAAAGGAAAGCAAACCTATTATTTCGTCAACGTTTTTACGAAGAGCTTATGTGGATTTTAAAGAAAAAGCGTTTTCGAGATAATCGCAAAAGAAGTTTCTGATATTTTAAAACTGCAAAAAAAATACCACTTTGCAACAACTTTGTGCAACAAGAAGACAATCACACGATTCTTCGAGAGCTGAATTTTTACACGAACTCAGTAATAAGACTTAATACATCAGTTAATTTGTGAAAATTAGTTAGAAAAGACATGTGGCTCTGCGTAAAAACGAAAATTCAGGTTGCCGACATTTTGGCACTTTCTGTTCAACGTGTATTTCTTTAGGCGCGCGTGAGTACGCGCGCGCAGCTGAAAATGTAACAAAGATAATTGATGTGGCTCCGTCGTAAAAACGGAAATCGGGGTTGACCCACCCTCGTCCCCAAGGTGTCGAACAGTACGCGCCCATCACTACCTGCTCTCTCACCCTGGTATTGGATCATTTGCATGTGCAAGATTTTTGAACACGTATGCAAATGAGGAACAGTCTGGTGCCTGCGTGTGCGTTACATTAGCGCTTGTTTTTGTATGCCGTGTCTGGGGTAAAAACAGACTCAATTCGTCGCAGCGCGAGCATGGCGTGAGTGACGAAAACACGATTTATTTAATTAAACTGTTACGATCTTACCGAAACAACATGCAGTATCACATTTCATATTAATATGAACAAATTGAAAAGGAAATTAGTATTTTCGAGAAGGCGTGGACGAATGATCGCGAAAACACGTACAGCACGTTTCGAATATTTATAATATGTTTCAATTGCGGTATCGAATCAGGATACAAGAATAAAGTTTCCTATCCAGGGCTTACTATTGAAAACGCGGTTGGAAATAAAGTATAGGCACTGGGGACGAGGTTAGGGTTTTTGGGACTGATTGTTACAGTTGTGGTTTAGGTGATCGTTGTTAGGTGAGATACGTCTAGCTGGTTGAGTGTAGTTTTGGGGCTCAGCTGATTTAGGTGTTGGGTGCCAGGTGTCTGGAGATAGCGGGCTAGGGCATAGCTGCGACATTGGGCAGAGAAGTAGGTGAATTACTTGTACTCTGCTTATGTGTAATTGCTTAGGCGATTTGTGTACAAACTCTGTGTAGCTGTACTGGGTTTGCGCTGGTATGTGTAGCTGAATCCTGGCTTAGTCACACGGCGTAGCGGTATAGGACTGTAAACATTGCTAAGCGGCTGTTGTGCGCTTGGGACGCTGTGTTACTGCTAACTTAGCGATTCATTACTGGCGCTGTGCATAGTTGCTCATTGCTGCCATTGTTGTCTAGTGCTTATATACTGTGTGCGTTGTTGCATAGGCGAGCAGCGGGCTAACTCCAGTAATTAAAGAAAGACCCTGTTAATAAAACAACCCTCCCAATTACATCCTAATTAATGTACCTGACTATTGTTGAATAAATTAAGATTATTGTTGTTTGAGATTACCGACAATTCTGCTTCCGGTGTTTATGTTTACAGGTTGTGCAATTAATTAACAGAGATAAACAATTAACATTTATTCACAATTGGGCGGTAGATTTCCACCAAAACGGACCTGCACCCTTAGCCTTGAAGGTCGCTCTGAGTGATCTCACGTCTAGGGAAGAGCCTTGGTTTGGGAGGATTGTCGTCACCCCACCATAGGAGTCAGACTTATAACAGACTTCAAGTGGGTTGGCCCGGGGGGGGGGGGCGGGGGTTCCCACCACAAGCGTATATGCTACCAAGTAAAGTATGGTGGGATTTTCCAGTTGACCCATGATGAAATACTGAAACATATACATTGTTTCCTGGTTATAAATCGGAAGAATAGAAGGAAGTAGGCCTACATGCAGTAACAAAGATGTTTATGTGATTGGTATTGGTTTCGTTGCGGTGGCAGACAAGCAGTATTTGTGCTTAATATGACCTTTCTCAGAAATCAAGCAGGTCCGCTCGTACCAACCGCCCTATATGGATTGATTTATTATGCTTGTCTATGAAATGACAAGGGGATCCACACTTTAGTACGGTATAGCTGAGGTACAAAGTTCAAGTACGACGATTGAAAGTTGAACCACGACGTTTGCCTCTTGGTTTTAGATCACACATTGAAATTGCGTTTCCTTCATGATGCAGACCATCTGCAACATCAATACATCTCTTAGACACCAATGATAAATACCCCTACGTTCATTTTTTGCTCAATTTGTACTTGGTTATAGTTAACTAGTGACTTTGGGGTGATTCTTGTCATCATGCGCATTCATCAGGAAGTAGCATGCAGCAGGTCATAGCAAAGCCGGCGGTTAGCGAGTCACAACATGCTTGAATACATATTCTAAATATTTGTCGTATTTTTCAAAACATACCGCATAGCAAAACAGCGGCGGGCTACTCACACTATTCCTTAAGTAGCTCGGCTGGCGAATCAAAAAAACAATTATTGGGATACGGCAAAGACGAAAGGGCAGGAAGAAATAAATCATTAAATAAGGTAAGTAAACCTGTATCATTTTGTGTATAATTTTATCAACTGTTTTAAAGGGTTAAATTATTAGATCTGTTTATTGGCAACACTGACAGAATTGCCTCAGAATAAATGAGAAATCACTTGTAAATGGGTAAAAACAAACTACCTACAACCCTTACGACCGGATTTTCGTACCTAGGTCGGGAGTTGTACGTTCACGTCTGTTTTAACATCGCGTACTTGCGGGAGAACGAAAATGATAACGACGGGAAGATTTACCTACCGACATCCGATGGATTCTAGGTTTATTCAGGCTCGTTTGGATCACGTGTGAATAAAGTTCTTATCAATGGTCACGTTATATTTGTTTGTAAATGAAAACAAATCTTTCAAATTTATTCAAAAAAATTATTGACAACACTGACAGAATTGCCTCAGAATAAATGAGAAATAAGTTGTAAATGGGTAAAAACAAACTACTTACAACCTTCAACAAAATTGTCCATCCCAAAAGACCTGTTAGTCTCCTGTTTAAGTTTAAGTTTTAACCCAATAACCGCCACACAAAAAATTGCATGCTTAAAACGAGTGATCGAGTTCCAGAAGTCCACACGGAAGTTTTCGGAAGTGAGAGGTCATTTTTTTCTTGTAAGATACTTCCTTTTTACGTGGTGCGATTTTTCAGTTTCCATAAAATTCCGAGGGTGATTTTTGACGACATCATTGTACCAAAACTAATTTCAAAAACTCTGACTTTTACACGTTAATTTTCCTTTTCGAGGGGCCCTGAAGCGCACCACCAAGGGTAATTTTTCAGGCTCTACACACGTTTTACATGAATGCACATTGTTGTTATTCGCCCGTAACCCCGCCCTGCAAACAGGACGATGGGATAGGCTGATGAATTCACGCTCGGATTGGATGTTGCGTGACCTGTGACCTGCAAGTCATCACAGCTACGACCCTTTTTCATGCACTCTTTTATTCCCATTCATGAACGTGTTTTGTTTTCGTTGAAAAGCGTAATAGTGTAGGAAAATCTGTTTTGTAACTTTTTAATTCTTGTCACTTGCTCAGGCTCCGTTTTAAATTCACGATGGGTCAAATTGCATATTATGCGACGCTCAAAATTTGCCCACAAGGTCGGCAATGAAAAAGAAATCACATCCGGTATAGAATGTGTGCATTTCTATGGGAAAGTTTTCGGATATCATTTGCGCGCATTGGCTTAAACAGCTGCAGCCAGCGAGTCTTTATATGTAGGTCATGATAAGTTACCCAGAATGCCATCCCAATTTCCTTCACAAGATTCTGTGAAGCGTATCCAAGCGCCCTGTTTGCAGGGCGGTGGGTACGAGCGAAATTGTTGTTAATGAGACACGCTATCAAAGAAATAAAAACATGCGGCTAGTGAAAATATCCGTGGGCTAGTTAAGAGTCGGTTTCAGTAGCTCGACTGGTTAGTGAAAAAAACAGTAAAGGTCGAACCCTGATAGACTACATGGACAACTTTACAATTGTGGTAAGCCTTAATATATCGTACGAATAACTCAACTCTCTGGCATACGTTGGTGTAAATAAAAGGTTCATTGACAGGTACTTCGGATGATATTTGGAATCCAATTTGATAGACATGACTGGTGAAGCGACATCTTGCGTTTTAGCCAGGGTAGCAGCAGCTAGGCGGTAATGGCGACAGTAATATACCGATGTGAAAAGAGAACAGAATTACAGCCCAGGTTGTTAGGCTGCCATCGACACTAGCTGCTGCGCCATGCTTGCTGAAGTATTTCTTTTCCTGACTCTGTCTCTTGTCCAGCAGTAAGCAAATTGAGAAATCAATTTTTCAAAGACCGTAGTCTGAGTATCACATGTTATCCACGGAGCCAAGACTTATATTCGGCCAATAAGGCAAAAAAAGAACCCCCAAAATATTAAAAAGTAGAAAATTAAACGAAAGTACACAGAAATAAACAAGCAACTCAGAATAAAAGAAAAACTCAGAAACAACCTCCTCAGCTGTCGAGCAGCAGTACGCGCCCACCACTAACTACAGACGTCACGGTGACCGTTGCAGCCGAATTTCGGCTTAATTTGACAGATGTTTTTCGGGGGGGGGGGAGAGCTCGACAGACAATATAGGAGAATGAATTGATTTAGCATGTTTCTTGTAGAATCTGTAAAATTGGTGATCTGACAGAAAAATATGGCAGATTTGAAAAATATAGCTGATTAGTTTTGAAAAGCTTCAAATTTGAGGTTCCTAACGTGTTTTAGTACACAAAAGTACTTTAGACCATTGCAAGCCAGGCTAGGCCTACTTCTACACATACGTGAGAATTTGTTTTAAAAAAACTGTATTATTTTGTTATTTTATAGGGCTCGTACAGTACTTTTAATGGGGGCGCTGTTCAAATCCGACGATTATTAACACTATATCTCAGAATAATAGACATAAACCCCCTAACAGAGCTGGGGGGGGGGGGTGTTCACCCCAAACTCCCCTCCCCCTCCTCATGGATAAGCATACTAAATCGGTACATATGGCGGTTGGCACGAGCGGACCTGCTCGATTTCTAAGAAAGATATATTAAGCACGAATACTGCTTGTCTGCCACCGCAATGAAACCAACACCAGTCATATAAACATCTTTGTTACTGTACTTCCTTCTATTCTTCCTATTTCTAACGAGGAAACAATGTATGTTTTAGTATTTCATCATGTGCCAACTGGAAAATCCCACCATACTACATGTAGGATATATGCTATGCCTAGGCCTATTCTTTACTGTTTAATGCATGTAGGTTTCGGAGTGAAAAGTTCAGCACTGATTCTGACGTGCATTGAACAATGACATTTAGGGACCGGTGAAAATGGTGCGGGGACGAGATACGTTTGCGGCTCGGAAAAAAAAACTAGGTGGTTATAGCATTATTTTGTGTGGTTATTTTACCAGACCAGCATGATAATACATCTTCACATTTTGATGTGGAATGCACGAACATTACCAACCGTTTGCCAGATAAAATAACCACGCAAAATGGTGATTCAGCAAGCTACTTTTTCTGAGCCGCAAACTTTTCTAAGTAGCACCGATGGTCCCTTAGACCCTCGCCAAAGTGTCTGTGTCAGGCTACATCACGAGACTTCGTGCCTTTGTGAACATTACGGTCGATGTATTTCCTCTTTCGATTCAGTTGCGTGGTGCAGGAAAAATATAGAACGCTGAAAGCAATAACTCGATCACTCGGACACACTAAATTCACAATCACGCACGCGATCTCCTGAACACAGTGAAGGGCTGAAGAGTTCAAAATCTACGATGCGTATGATACTCCTGGCAATTGTGGCTCTGACCACAACAGGTAAGAAGTAATTGTCTGGAATTTTCTGGCATCATATAATTGCCATCCCAACTATTTCGAAAGTTAAACCTGCAGAAAATTTAAAAACAGACATGCAGAGTAATGTAGCACTTACAGTAAAGTACATGTACACATTGGTATTTCCATAATTAAGGGTACCAATGCATATATTTATATGCATAACTTTGAACATAAAGTATTTTCTGCACTTTTTACGTATGTGGTAATAGTTTGTCCTTGTCACTCAAAATATGAATTGTAAAAATCCAATTTATCTTCTTCATTATTTTATGATGAAAAAGATTGTTTCACGTGTAACGGGGACACCAAATGTGGTATCCCCGTGACACGTGAAATCACCGGGTTTTTTGGTCATAAATAGCCTGGCCTGATAACACTGAAAAACGTAATTGGTATGACTACATACTAAAAGAAATCGAGACATTTTGAATGAAATACTTAAGATGATACGGTACATAAAAGTTACTGGTTTCACGTGTAATGGGGAAACCAACCTCTAAATAAGGAAATAATCACTTTTTTTCTGCAATTCATCTGAATGTTATAGAATAATCAATGTCATGTATTAGCTGATGAAATTGATAGAATTCAGAAATGTTCAAAGAAAACCATCAGATATATGGCAACAAAATATATTTTGCTTCACACTGGGGGGGGGGGGGGGGCACCATGGTTTCCCCTGTTACACGTGAAAATTAAAACTTATATGCGTTATATTTCTTAAGCCTGCCATTGAAAATTCAAATGTTCATAACAAACACAAGTATCTTCACTGCTTCATATAATATGCATTTTAGACATTTTCAATGAAAACCAACGGCAATATGGCACAAATAAGTAATCAATTTCACGTGTAGCAGGAACGGTATCCGTGTTACATGTGAAACCATGTTTTTCGGCATGTTTTCCGAAAATGAAAAATGTACGTTTAAACCACTAAGATCAACCTGTCCTACAAATTTATACTGCAAAATTTTAAGAAAATATTTTGTATCTAAACATAATAATACTTATTAATTATATATATGTTACACTTTGGTACCCTTATTTATGGAATTACCCACATGCAAGTACTTTGTATATATGCATATTGTTACATGCAAGTGGGGTGTATCGCTTTTTGATAATAATTATGTCTAGGTCAAGCCTACTTTTGGGATAATGATCTCATATGCCTTTTTTAGAATGGTAACTCTGAGGACGTGTTTTGCTTCATAGGGGATTTCTAGAATTCAAAGCCTTGCATTTTTTTCATTAGAAATGACCGCATCTGCATCGACGGGCCCCGTGCCTTCAGACTGCATGCATTGTATTTGCATTGTGGAGTCAGGGTGCAAGATGCCTAACCCTGTTTGTCGTGAGGACGTTGGGTCGCTGTCCTGTGGACCCTATCAAATCAAGGATGCGTACTGGCAGGATGCTAGACTCAAAGGAGGCGATCTGATGGGAGGTAAAACAGTGAACAAAATCTCAGTACGGGGCCTTGTATGGGGTTCTATAGAAAGGCTAGTTGCTCAAAGTTTTGGTTTGTTTGGGCTCTTATCATGGGCATCGCCAGGATTTTGTTTTTTTTGGGGGGGAGCACATTTTCCCCTAAAATCCTTTCTCTAGACTACTCTCAATTTATCACTTTTCGAGGGCGGGCGGGAACATTTATCCACCCCACCCCCACTGTCACCTCTGCAGACGCCATTTTTGTTAATGTGTATTAAACTAATAGCAATTATGACTTCACACCTCTTTTTCTTGTCCTTTTCTTTTTCTTTTCTCTTTTTCTATCCTTTTTTAAATTTTATAAATGAAGTAAAATAACCAATAAAACTCCACAGTTCTATGCCAAATTTGCAGCGCCCTTCAGCCCCAGACACTTGGCTCCCACAATCAACTTGTCATTGTCAAGTGACATATAGAACCCCTTGCATCAGAAGTACTGTTTTGTTCTGATGACGTACTGTGTTTCCTTACTATAATTTGACAGTTTGTGTTTAACAAGTGACTGTGTTCAACACGTTCTATGCATGCGCTTTTACCCAAATGCCAGGCATGCAACTTTTCCTCGGATCAGCTGATTTCCTCTTTTTTTACTTCCCATGTGTGCCATTGAAAATAGAAAAACACTGTACAAAGTCTGGGAAAAATTAGAATTTCCTCTTTATTTGTGATTTCCCAGTTGCATGCCTGATTAATGCTCAGCTACGTTTGCGTTTCCTTCAAGATACGATCCATTTTTTTTGTAAACTCCTCTTATTTATTCCTATACAGACTGGAAGAAATGCACGGCCACTTTCCCCTGCAGCGAGGCGGCTGTCCAGGGATACATGGAGCGATACGCCATCAAGAGTCGGCTGGGTCACGATCCGACCTGTGAGGACTTTGCCCGCATCCACAACGGTGGGCCCGACGGCTTCAAGTATCCCGGCACTATCGGCTACTGGAACAAGGTCAAAAAGTGTCTCGACAAACAATAGATGCACTCTGAGCTATCGGCTGCTTTCCCAGCATTTATCCATTTTCATTCACACCTTTAAATCATAGCCATTAACAAGCTTCCAATCAACAACAGTCTCCCAAGCAATGACATTATGATTCGCTATACTGCGCATTTACCTTATTTTTTAAAAGGAATATGATAACTTACCGCCCATTTGGAGCAGTTGCCATTTCGTTATCTGTTGCGACTTATAATGATTAAAGCGCGTTGTCATTGTTAAACGACATGTTTTTTTTATTGAGTAGGGTTTTTACGTACTGTAGACAAAACCACATATTATTCTTTGTATTAACCTATTTGTAATCTTCAAGTTTCCCCTTTGCTTAATGTAGACAAAAATTATGAGTTTTTACAAACTGTTTGTGTTTTAACATTTTGCTTGATATAGACAGACACCATTAAGTAATAATTACCGTACTGCTTTCATGTGAAAATGACCGTTGACAAAAAATGCATCTTCCTTTGTATAAATGAACCATGACCTCGCTGCACACACAGAAAACGTTACATGTTTACAATGTGCCTTACGAATCTCCTAATTGCTAGGTAAAGCTTTGTACAATAATAGTCTTTGGTAATGTGTTTCACAAACATTTTTTTTGTAATTTTCTTTGAAAAATATTGGTAAAAACAGTCAGGTAAAATGTTACTGAATCCTTGGTTAAATACACTTTGTTTTGTTGTAGGACTGAAATATGTTGTTTTCAATAGGGCAAAATGTTAACAAAACTATCATAAAAAAAATTGTTTTTGTCCTCTGTATGTACTTGTAACCAAAGTCTCTTTGATAAATAAGATTAAGTGATGTCCGCTGCAAAGATCTCCTCCTAGTGATTAGAATCGAAACGGCTGTCGTCAAGACTGTCTGTTGAAGGAAAATACTGCGCTATTGTAAACGGATGTTGAGGGTCTGTATCTGCCCGGTGTGTCCCAATAAACCAGTGCAAGTGCACAATAAGCCCTGAGATTTGAAGGTTTTCATGGTGAAGGGATTTTAATAAGATAAGTAATTGCGGTACTGGCATCATGTGGCAAGATATCTCTTGTGAGTATGTGTGGTTCTGAATAGAATCGGAACCGGTCCTTTTCAGAACCACACATACTCACAAAAGATATTTTGCCACATGGTGCCACCGCAAACAACTGATTTTATTTTCAAAAAATAATAAACTCTAGCCGTCTTGCATTACAATATTGCGTAACGTTGACCGGACATCCACGCGCCGTCCTCGCGCCCTCCCACGCGCCCTCCTACGTCCCGGGGCGCGAATTTTCGTTTCCCAAACGACATCCGCATACATGGTTGTCTAGCGCCCTCTACGATATTTTTGTGATACGTACGGAGGTATATTCTTATTATTTTCCGCATTTTCCTGCGGTAGTTCAGTTGATACACAATGGAAGATTTTGCACCGAATTTTGCAGTCGTTTTTTTTTTTCTTTTCTAATCTGAAGCTTTGAAGGATTTCTTAAAAGGGAAATGAAGTCTGAATTTCATAATGCTCGAAATCATGTTTTTCTAATTTTATATTTTCTTCTCATGTTTTTAGAAAAGTTAAGTCCAAAACGCCATAGCGTACACCCATATGCGGATGTCGTTTGGGAGAAAAAAAATTCACCCCGCCCCCTGCCGTCCCGTCAAATGTTGCCTCCATTTACGAATTGTTCATAAACAACTTTACACATTATTACAAACAATTTTTGTTAGATATTTAATTTATTTTCTTTAAGTAAAATGTAATAGTTAATGTGAAACTTAGGTGGCTCGTTTTTTGTCCCTTTTCCGGGGACAGACAGCCAGACAGACAGCTATAGACCAGCTTCGAAGTGACACGTAGGAGCTCCTGCCAGAGCTTTAGAAAAACATGTTGCGCCCCAAAGACTGTTTTTGGTTGTTAATTTAGTATCAGAGATCAGTGAATCAGAAATAGTTGTGAATTCCAGAACTTTTAGAAGCTAACTTTCCTATCCGGTGATCCTTGAAGCGCACAACCTCGGATGAAGTTCAGGATTGGATGGAAAGACAAGACCACATTATCAAACGTGTATTATGAGGACCAACAGCGCCCTCAAAGACTCTGGAAAACAACTTTTGGTGTGCCTTGACGATGGTGCCCTCCATGTTATGGTTTGCCAGCCTAGTTCTCAAGATTAAGAGGGCATAAATGGATGTACTTCTCCACGAACATACATAACGACTTTCCTGATTTTTGTGGTAAGAGGTTATTGAAAGCATGCAAGATGGTCACAGTCAGCAAAATAATGTGATGATAAGAAAGTACCTTGATATTGATAACACTGTAAATAAGCCTACACGTATTCATGACGCACTTTGATGTCACATGGTGGTTTTCAAACAATGCCTCTCCACTCTTGAAAGATATGAGTTGAACCTGTTTGAGAGGGCAGAAATACGAAGATTTGGCGACCGTGTCGCAGAGAGCGAAAGAAATTGAAGGGGTGGTGTCAGATATTCCTGCACCGAATCGGCTACACTAAAACGGGAGTGCGCCCTCTCAGGGTATTTTCCTGTCATCAACCCCAAATAATATGTTTCCATGCACATACTGTCGGGATTAAAGGCGCTTAAAGATGTATGTCTCTTGCGGTTTCAGAATCAGATTTCATATATGAAAAACGGCCCTATAGTTGCACATTTTTTTGGGCCTCTGAATTTTCTCTCTGAAATGCGTATACATTGGGCTCAGGTCAAATAGTGCGTCAACTAAACTTGATCCGAAAAAAAATTAAACGGTTAAATAAATTAATTTTAAAAAGGACAAAATGTTAGCATTTTATTTATTATTCTCATTAGTTTGACTAGCATTGACCTGCTTAGAAAAAAATCTCAATAAGTACATGCGCGATGCAATAGCCAAAACGGATACTATAAAGAGCGCCCTCGATTTAAGCAAATATTGCCCCATGGGAAATCACGGTAGGTGCTGATGTCTCCCAGCGTTTCCAGTTTCTCTATTATTGATCAACGAATGCCAGAATTGCAAGAGAAAACGCTCTTGTATTTTGCTCTCTGCGCTGAATCGCTGCGCTAAAACTCTGACTGAATAATGAGAGTACATGCAGGAAATCATTTGTAAAATACATCACCTGTCCTCTAATTGTCTTCATTCAAGGCCCTTGTGACCTATGGGCCTTATGCATGAACAGGGAGGGCGCTTTTTACCACTTAACACAAAGTTTCATATATATACCGCTCGCACTATTTGTGGTCGTAACTAATGCATGGGTGTGTGCTTGTGTGTGTGTGTGGACGCTGAACCCGGTATTGGCCAGCTCCTCGGCACTGGGCCAGCTATTGCACGCTGTCACACCACATTCACTATCAAGTATGTATTTGCCTGCAATCGGGACCCACTATTGTCCCTCTTTTGTTTGTACCTTCACTTTTTAGGAAGACCTCCCATATGTTTTGTACACGAAACCAAATTGGGTGCCTCACGGGAATAGGGGACACTATTTTCCTTTGTTGTTCAACGTCCCCTATTGAATGCAGAAACAAACCCAGTGACGTTTACGTTACATATGTAGTGTGGACATTCCTTTGTTTTCGTGTACTATAGAAAAGAAAAACCTATTATAAAAACTCGATTAGAAAATGTGTTCAAAACTAATGAGAGCTGTTGTGAAAAAGTTACAAATTAAGGAAAAGGGAAGACGAACAAAAGAAAATCCTCGATTTACACCATAAACAAACGTGCTAGTGTGTGGACGTGGGGCCCGATAAAACTCCTTGCACATCGGCCCTGTGCTAGCTAGGCAGGCTGTAACACAGCCGTGCATTCAATGCTAGGTCGTAACTAGTCAATCGAGGGCGCAAAATGAACGTTCAGCGCAGTCCGTTATCTTATACCACCGTCTTGAACCAAGACTACCAATTCTCGGGTATCAACATATAGCCTAGATAGATAAACCTTCAAATTTCAATTGTCCTTTTTCTTGCTTTATGTAATGTAACGGGTTGACGGAAAGAGTCATTCGGCAAGGTAAGGTGTGCTGAAACACGAAAGACAAAAAGAGGCTTACTGAACAAGTATAACAATCTTTTGTGGTTTATTCGAAGTCGACAGTCGCTGTATAGTCTTCAAACTATATACAAAATGTACAATATAAATAACGACTAACAATCACTACATCATGCAGGTCCATATTACAGCCGAGTTTCTCTTATATAGATATACGCTGCTTTACGCACACAGTTTTCATATTTTATTCAGCATTTGTGCTGTTTAATAAAAATCAACTAATCAACTGTAAACTTAAACAATGTTGAGGCGTTTGCTCTCTTCGGTGTCCCCACATGGACTAAGAAGTTGCAAAACTTGATTATGTTCCTCCATGTGTGAGGGCAAGGGAGAAGTTCAAGCTTCTGTCCCTACTTCTCGCCCTACTAAATTTCGATCAACATCGATGCCAAGTACTCTATAGCCCAACCATGACGTAAAAAAATAATTACCACCCCCACCCTCTCTGTCTTTGTCAATAACTGGTCAATACCTCAACACACAGCTTATTAAGGGTTATGAAGAAAACTAATCCCATCACCCTTCGCCAGACTCAGCTGCCTCTTTTCTCCCGTCAACAGGAAATAATACAAAAATCAAAGGGCCCTTCATATACACGAGTTTTGTCAACCTTTTATTGGCCCGACAGAAATGTTTATTTTAATTTTTTTATTATTATTGTTATTTTACCGCAGTCTGCGTAGACAGTACAAATGTCAAGACCAAGCCAGGTGTATCGTCATTGTTCGTGAGCACGAGATACCTTTCGAGGTAACTTGAGCAAGCCCCTACCAATAGGGATCCTTACAAAAGACACGAGCATACTGGAAACGTCTACAATATTTCGCAGCTCTGAAAAGCAAATTCGCAAGGCTTTGTTGGGAGATCACTTACTATAAACAAGAAACAAGGAACGTACATTCCGTACCTTTAACGTACATGGTCTTAATTCGTCCAACGAGAGCTAACAGAAATTAAAGGTCTCTAGCGCCCTTGGCAAAGTTTATATATTCGATTCACCAATAGACTCTTTGCACTGTGCAAAGGTGTTTTTTTTTTAATTATTTAAATTTAGTAACAATGACTAAACAAGATGTCTACGCACGCGTATCCCTCTGCGTGGAACCTTAAATAAAGTTGCAATGAAAAGAACATTTACGTTTCACGATTCGTTTTGAATGATCCCTACCAGCAACCATGTAACTTGACAGCCAATAAATGCACACGCACTCTGACCAAGAAACAGTCATTGTCGGTGACAACGCGTTCCAAAGCATTTACCATTTTAAACGAATGATTCTCTCAGATTAATGTTCTCCAAAAGAAAATGGTACTTGCATAATGCTCCACTTTCTGTGACAACGAAAATAGCTTGGATGCAATGCAAGGCTTGAAAAATGATAATTTCAAAATTCCCCCGTTCTCCGCTTTTTTTAATACTGGGGGGGGGGGGGGGTCGGTTAGTCGCAGTTCAGTCGTTCTTGTCAGTTTTTGGTCATGTCACATTCCCATCCACTACATTTCGGGCCTAATCGCGGTGCTGAATCGCACCAGGCTGAACTACGGGCTGAATCACGGGCTGTCACAGTTTTACTTCTCAAAATACGTATCCAAATCACAAGCAACGCAAAGAATTATGGTGGAGATCAATGTTAATTAGGCCTGCTGGTATGTTCCTTTAGTCATGCAGTCATGTCTCGTCGGCATAAGGACATACAGTACAGCTGAGGTGTGTGGATGAACATTATGCACGCCTCACTTAATTACAAATGTATCACGTCTCAGGATGTGAATGATGATTAACTTAAAATTGACCATAACTCTGAAAAAATAGTGTTGTAAATTTGATCTAATTAACTCAAAAATCAAAAAAGAAATAAAAGAAATTATCAACAAATTTGGAACAACACAGACTTCAATATTGTCAACAAAACTTGGAACGACACTATTGAAAAGTCACAATAATTCAAAGTTTCTTTCGTTTTGTTCCTGATCAAATTGTGAAGGATTGGTCAGTCAACTGTCTCACCAGGTCGCCAAGTCATATTTTAGTTCGGTCAACAAACAGACACAGAAGTCTCTTATTTCATCGGTGTAACGTGTTGCGTGAAATACAGCTATAAGCACTGTATGGTTTAGTAAAGTATCAAACCTTTTCTACAGGCACCGTCATTGCATTAAAATGTCAACAACACAAACTGAGTAACACAACCAGACAAGCCATGTCTACAAACACGGAGAAAGGTCGGCCAGGTCGTGAAGTCAGTCATCCACAACGCGCGCGAAAACACGAAATTACGTCTGTCCGCCTGTCATTTAAGGATGTCTTTATTAAGTCCGTCGCCTGGTGATAACGGCTGTCACTTTCCAGCTCGCCTGCGCTCATCGGAACAAGGCCTGATGTTGACATGCCCGGCTAGGCTGCGATTTCACTGAATGTCATTATTCAAGCCTTGCCGACAGACAGTGTCAAGAAAGCCTTCGTTTGATTGGAAACGTGCCCACAGAACGAGCAGACAAAGGCCTCTTTATATCTCATTTCGTGAAACTTGTCTTGGGTTCATCAGCTGTATATTCAACAGGGCGCTATTACTTCTAAAATACTGTTGTTTTTCCCCCTTGGAATTGTACCGTTCTCAATATTCATTGTTCAAGTGACATATGCTTAAAACTCAAGAACTACATACCTCCTATACTGTCTGCTGTAACAAAACTGGGTAGTAATTTAAGAAACCCTCGTGCATCATTGGAAGAAACTCGATTGTCTAAGTGATTTTCAAAATGTTCATCTTGTCTTTTTTTCTCTTAAAACTGCCAGACATCTTTGACACTACGTATTAAATATTATGGTCACGTATACAACTAAAACCCTTTTCTGAAAAAAAAAACCAATTGGTAACAAAAGACAAATAATTATGCTCGTTATGTTTTAGAGTTCGCGAAAGCACCTCCTCACCTATTTTGAGGGGAAAGTATTTTTTTTTTGTTCTTACAAGCCATAACGACACAAATTTTTCAATTGGCTAAAACGATTTTCCAGTAATGCTATTTCCTTGACGCTACGATGAAATTACAGTTATAAATCATTCAGTGTTCTTGATTGGGTCTTCTTCATGGGTTAAAAATAGTACAAACGAAATATAAATTAAGGCAAACTCATGTTTAACAAAATGGTAACATAGGAAGAAAAATAACATTTTCAAAGAATGTATGTAGGCATACTGCATAAAACGAGAATAACCGTCTCGAATCTCTGAGGGTTGTTTCTTGTACCAACGACCAATAGGTGAACAATGTAAAACGATAGATTTTTTTAGCACCCAAGTAAAATAAAAAGATATACCAGATCTGACAACAGAATCATAAGAACGAGTGGATATTGCCAGATGTTTTAAACTTTTGATAAAAACGGTCAATATTACAAAGAGAAAACTGTTCAATTTTGCACTGAAGTACTACAGGGTGAGTAAAAGAAAATCTCGTCGGAAGGGTTTTGTGCTTATAATAAAAGAATGGAACATGGCGGTACTGGTCTTCAATTAAATTATGACAATCTCAACGATGAAACTCAAAATGTTCGAGGTTAAGTCTTAAAGTCACCGTCTAGACATTCTGAGTGCTTAACCCACAAAAAAAACACATGCGTAACCGTTAAAACTAGGTTAGGGAAGTGCACGAAAGTATTTCACTGGCTTTTGGGCTGAAATCATTTACAGATGCCAATCATTAGGCATACAGGGAACTTAAGCAATTATTATAACGTATATAATTATGTGACCAATCTAGAAAAATAAAAACATTTTGAAACTTTGACATAGGAAACACTTACTTAGGCAGGAAACACTCCCATGCACCTTAAAACTAAACTCAGCATTAAAAAGATACATCTAACTATCTTCTCTTGAATGCTTTACAAGTAAGAATCTTATAGAAGGTTGCTCGGAACAGTTCATTGGCAAATGCATAGCATAGGGGGTTAATAGTGCTGTTAATATAGCAAAGGTAATAGCTGAATTCATAGAGGGGCATGGGTACACAATCAGGACAGTAACCCATAATCATCACCATAGTGGAGTACGGACTCCAGGTAATAAAGAAAGCGCCGAGAATGAAGGTAAGTGTCCGAGTGGCCTTGCGCTCGCTACGGCTTTGCCTCTCTCCCTTGACGGAACGCCGTTTGACCTCGTACTTACGACCACTAGATCGGAAGGTGATGATGCTGGAGCGCTTCTTCCCATTACTGTTGGGCTGGTACTGGTGCCGTAGCGGCTGATGCTGTTCGCTCTGATTCCGCCTCTCAGACGAGGATGTCTCGTCACTAGGATCGTCGTGGTCGTACGATTCCATCTCTCTACGAGGCGGAGTTTTTCTCTTGACCTCGTTGACCCGGTTAGCCTCAGCTGACAAGGCTGAGACTGTCGTTGAGGTGGTGGTACCGTCCGTGGTGATACCAACTCCGAGTGCTTCACTCTCCATCATTGTGGGCTCTAGAGTACGCTCGGGATACAGGTGGTCATGGGATACCCGTGGACGCATCGCCCTACCCCTGATCGACTCATCGTTTGCCATGCGGCGGTGGCTAAACTTTTTCTTCTTTCTCGATAGGTTCCGGATAATCCTATAAATGTAGGCGTACATAAGGAACAGGATTAACAGCGGCACCCAGTACACCATAACGGTCGAGAGGGCCATGAAGAGCGGAGAGTTCACCAAGAATGGAACGTAACATGTGTCACTTGGACGCGGGTCCCCGGTATGGAAATACGGCCAGCCCATGACCGAGGTGAAGTATAACAGTATGGGCAATATCCAGGTAGGAACGATCATTATGACAGCCCGTCGCATGTTCATTTTGTTGCGGTACCTGGCTGGGGAGCGGACAGACCATAACCTGTCGGCGCTTATCATGATGAGGTTGAGCACAGACACCTCACTGCATGAGTAGTCAATGGACAACCAAAGGTCGCAGACGAAGGTACCAAAGGGCCAGGTACCCATTATGAGATACAGCGTGTAGATGGGCATAGAGAATAGCCCAATAATCAGGTCAGCCGCGGCAAGACTGAGAAGGAAGTAGTTGCTAGGTTTCTGTAGACGTCTCTCTACTCTGAAGGACAGCATGACCAAGATGTTGCCACCGATGGTCAGGATCTGACTGAGCAAGGCGCTAATGCAGATGAAGACCAAAGCCAGTGTGCTGTGCGGGGTACCGTTGGACGTCAGACCATCGTCTGACGTCGTGGTACCAGGCGCCATTGTGGTCATCACGGCTGAAACGTTGGTGGTATTCATCACTGGCACCTGAAATGACAATAACACACACAAATAGTTAAATTGAGGGGATCATGAAAAGGACATAGCACATAGAAGAATTGCACTTGCAGGGCATCGCCACCATGAGCTGGTTGCTATTAATAAAGCGCTCATCTGGCAGCCGAAGAAGCGAGGCCACAAGAAGCGAGGCAGAGAGCAGACAACCTTCGTGGATGCTCTTCTTGAAGATGCTCTTTCTGAAGATGCTCAGGTAGTCACTGCGACAGAGCTGGCCAACCCGATGGAAAAACGTTCTACCTGGCGATCTATAGAAGGAAGGCTCGTCTGCGGACATCCTGATGATGATGTTGAACAAGGCAATAGATCAAAATATGACATCGCCATACACGATTTCAAATTAACAAACGGATCCGTACTGCTAAGCCGTTGTATATCGAGACCTTTAATTTTTTCAATCTTTGCTAAAAGAGGAAGCACTTGTGCGATATTAGGATTCGACTCTCATATTTCAAGTTTGTCTGTTCTCTATCCCCAGTAAGTTACCTGCAAGTGGTGAAATGTTAAAAGAAAAATGCTGTCCAACAGCTGACTGATGACAGTATCAGACAAACAACAAATGCGCAAGAACCATCTATTTCGGTTCGGAGTTCCAAGAGGCATCATGCAAATGGAACGAGTGGATAACAGGCCTCTGGTGTGGGATAGCGTTCTCACAAAATTTACACTGCCCTGCACTGCATGCCCATTCCAAATATCTAAATATAGCGTTCACATACATTCGCATGAATTCTATTGATTCCGCTCTATCACGTGTCACTTTCTTGTTAGAGTAGAAACGATTTTTATCCCATACCTAATGTATCTGTTACAAATTATAGTGTTTTGTTACACTGGGGCGCTTGCATCCGATCGACCGACAAAAATACATTGGTGCGGTGGATTTTTCTGGGTATCGTTTATGAAGAGGATATGGTAAATTTAATTTGTCGCTTCTGTGAATCGTCTATATTAAAAGCAACGCGATTTGTGTTATCAACAGCAAGTATAGTATGAGTTTCATTCATTCTTGTGAAAACGTAGTGTCGCAATTTGTCAATATTAAAAAAAGCATGTTGAAAAAGTCAACTGTTCTGGTATTACGCTTTTTGCTTAAGCTAGTCATGATGAATTAAGGTTTTAGTCCACGACGATATGAGCTTCATTATACCTCGATTTTTGTTTTAATCTGAAGGAGTCCCAATAAACAAAATAGACCAGTTATGCCAATTTTGGCATCCAGTATACAGACTATTATCAGGAAATTGGATGTCGGCATTATATTGCTAAAAAAGTGCACATCGCATGCGCACATCCAATCAGGGAGGGAACATAGACTGGCCGCTGGTCCTTCCCATATAAAGGTAGACGGGTAGTTAGTTCCAATGTAAAGCCATCGATTTGATCACCTCTGCTCGTGCCCAACATAAAAAACGATGTTGGTGGCTTTGTGCGTGGATGACATTTGAACACGAGGCTATAAAAAATGCACTCTTTAACGAGTAGGCAAAATCGCCAGTGTCTTTACTGAAAGGCAACTTTCAAGCATTTCAAACACATATAGCATGAAAGGAAAGTAGTGCCCCTGGAAAGTAGTGCCCCTCTTTTATTTGACAGTTGCCAGAAATACTTTCAAATTCAGCAAAAAATGTAAGCTCATCACTACACAAATGCACGTTAGTGTTACAATAGCTCCACGGGTTAGTACCACTGACGTGCAATATATATGAGCTTGTTGCCATTTTGAAATAAACTGGTTCCGCGCTAAAATTATCTATTTGATTTTTCAATCAGGAGGCAGGAATCAGACCTAGGGTAGTTCTGCATATAATTTGCACACATTAATAGCAAAACCTCCTAATGTATTCGGGATTCAATGCTAGTTACCTGTCCCTACATTGGAAAGCCGAAGGATAATGGAGGGACAGGGAGCCAATCTAGAGGAAACATAGCGTGTGAAATGCAACATGTGCGCATGCGGGCAAATGTCCGCTGCAGTCATTCATCCCAAACGTCATCCAGATTTTTTTCAATAAAATCTTGTAGTTTATTATATTCTGTGCCGTAAACTACCGTCAACAATATCAGCCTTCTTTTCGAAAATTTATATTTTTGGCAAAGAAAATCATCGGGAATTGAAGGAAATGGCAGATATTGGACTGATATTGTCCATTACATCAAGTACGGGCAACATCATCAAACAGGTCCGATGTTAACAATCAATCAATTCAAGGGCAGATGTAAAGACTTCTGCCCAAGGTGATCCAACAAAGTGGAAATGTTGGTATGATTGGTTTTTGAAGATGATTCAATCCTCTTGTAGCCTAAGTCATCTGAAAACGTTTTACTGAGAAGCTGCAGCCGTATATGAAGTAACTCCTTGAAGAACACCGACTTCAAGTACACTATAGAAAAATATGCTATGACGTAGATGTAATGCTAATCCAGCTTCGCAATGGCAGGTGGTCATCTAAGGGCGTGGGCAGGCTCCATCGAACCTTTCAATTAAAAAACCGTCTTGATCCAGGGCAGTTCACCTGGCGATATTATCCGGCACCATGGCTTTCGATTTCTGGCATGCGACTTGCGTCCATCCCATCAATATTCGTCCCCGTTTAACACCGCGTCCGCGAGCATGATTATATTCCAACATCCGTGGATAAAGAGTGAAAAGTCACGAAGCTGACGATTCAAAATCAGGTACCGTATTCTGCAGTGTCCTGTCGCTAAAAACGCTAGGGGTTGACCTGCAGGGGCGCCTGGCCGGAGGGGTCAATCTACAATAAGAGCAAGGCCGAGAAATTAGAAACACGACAGCGTAAAATCGAAGAATCCGGCCACGGCGCGAGAAATTAGAAACACAGCGAGCACATCAATCGAAGGAGGAAGCAGCAGGTCTCTAGTTGAGGCTCGGGGCTATCGCAGTGAAGTCTCGCGTGGCTTTGCCGAATAAATACGATTAGCGTTGGAAATGAGCAAGTGGTTGACACCAAACAGCCCGCAGCTAAGCTATGTTCGAATATGGCACAGTCTATCTCTGAGAGGCGTAATATCAGGTCAGTGGGGGAAAAAGTCTGGGTAAATAGCCCAGAGGCCAATCAGATGCAATGCTAATTTCTATCGCTGGATCCTGAGTGAGGACTTAACTTCGTTCCTTTTTTTCCCAGCTCTGTGTCTCGCAACACCCCCCCCCCCCTTTCCATCGTTTGGTGTTCCAGGCACGTAGGCCCTCTGTGGGTTGTTGTTTAATCTGCTGGCGCAACCCACAGACAGAAAAAGACACAGCAGAATCAACGGGCCGAGAACGAAGCAGCGAGCTCTAGCAGAATTGTAACCCACAGACACTGGGGCACATAGTTAATCTCTGCACACACTGACGGGCTTAGCCGTCAAGGAAAGTTCGATCATGTTACACTCGAGTGGTTTCATTACCCAACGGGAAGACGTCACGATGTAGATCTATTTTTTTTCTTCCCTGCGAACCAAATTATTTACAAGTCAGCCGGCTGCGCCGACATATACGGAAAACTTGGTTGCACTTTTCTTTTGGACCCCAATTTGGATTTGCAACAGAATAAAAAAATACACGAGGATTACACATTCTGGAATCCAACTTGACACTCTGGGGTGAAAATCACGAGGCTCCTAGGGGAAAACAAGGGCAGACTGAAACAAGTAAAAAAAAAACTCTCTAGGCTTCTCTACTCATCCTGATTTCTACAATTTGACCATATTCAAAGCATGATTCATCATCCAGAAAAAAACCCCAATTACTTAGGCCTACTAACAACTATGAGTTAATGTCCTTATACCACGCGAACGTCGAAACAGTTTTGACAGACGGAAACAGAAAATTTCAGAAAAGTTTTTTCTGTAACACGTAGGCCGACATAATCAAGATACGATAACATCATTAGAATTAATGAAGCAAGCGAAACTACAGTAAATCAATTCGTTGCAAATGAGCTTTTGGAAGATGTTATGGCCTCGAGCCCTTCGGCTAAAAACGAACAAAAAACAAAAACAAATGAAATGTCATCCGATCCGACATCATCAGGCCAAAGGCACATGCTTTTGTGTATGTATAGCACAGCACCTTACTTAAACCACTATTTTCTTTTTCTGACTTCCTCCGAGTCATGTCTGGCTAGCAGTGCGCGAGATGCACCGACACGTACGGGCTCGGCCTAGTGACGCCTATGGCTCGATGGCACGGTAATTGGTACGGTCTAAGACATCCACCCTCCGGGCTTGGCGGAATATCTGATTAGGACCAAAAATTGAATCATTTCTGCTTAGAAAAACAGAGGCTGTACCTTAAATGCCAACTTGTATATCGACTTTATAGTTGCACGGTGTTTTCGAAATGGCTTTTATAACCAATTGCATCTGGTAGCCAACCGGTCACTGGGAAGATTTGTTTATATTTAAGTAAATAATGACGATCCATTAGAACGACAATGCACTAACGGGTTTACAAATAGTGCTCAGTAGGAATATTTCCAAGTAAATGGAGATGCGATGAATGAGAAATGTTACCGTTTACCTGCACATAATATAGATCGATAAGGTCGGGTTTTGACAGTCAGATATTGTTTTAATATGTGTACAACATGAAGCTTGGAAACTGAAACATCCGCAGTCTTTGAGGGAAAAGAAATGGTCATGGAAGACAACATAATCTGACTGTATTCAGGCATGTTAAGTTCAAAACACTGCATGTAATGGCGGACGAGAATACCACTTTTAAAAACGTCTTTTGTATCTTCCAACAGCTTGCGAACGATTACTAGAAAATGTAGAGAAGAAATGCAGTCAAATTCCAATCTTGAAGACATATGCCGTAACAATCTTACCTTAAACTGTTTCTACCAGCGGTCGTTTTTGTTTTGAATAAGATTAAGTTGAAGCTGTTAGCAAACGGCGTTTCACTGATTCGATAAGAACGATTTTCAAAGTCCAAATGGGTATTAGTTCGTGACAACATCTTGACGATAATTGTTTAAATATTCAGATAACCGTTTCTGTTGAGACCAAACATTTATCTTACCATTTGGGAGTAAACCAAAGTGGGTAGCATATTCCTCTTGTAACGTCGGAGTCTTTTATCCTCCGATATTTAACGATCGAGGAACAAAACGTTTCGTGGATCGTGTACTTGTCTAATTAGGGCAGCTTGGTCGTAAAACAAATCGTATCGATCAGTCAAAAGTACAGCTAAGTTCAGTTCGACAAACTCGCTCGGCAGATGGTTTCGAAAAAGGTCACAGACAGTATTCATTCCTGTCCAAACGGTGTCCATTCCCACGACTTGTTGACACGAGACCGCCGACCGATATGAATGCCGTAGATATATGGCAACACACACATACTGCTCTATAGTCAAGGACGATGCGAATCCGAGTTTACAGAAACAACAGCACCATTTCCTTTAGGCAGAGTTTGTTATGGCAACTATTGCAACACTGACTCATGCGAATTTTTGAAAATGCAGGTTCTGTTGTGCCATTGAGCACTGTTTTTTTCGTGCAAAGAGACCTTGGACGCCTAATTGAATGTCACAATGAACGTCAACTTGCCGCACGTCACAACACTCTTTTTTCAATGTTCGTGTTTTGTGTTGCGGCAATAATATGGAATGCGGATATCGATCAATCAAAACATCGAAACACAGACCGTCCTTTTGTGTCAGTCTGTCACCTACTGAAGTATGAATAGAACCCACGAAATGGAACTTCACCTGACTTTTCTACCTATTCTAGGCATAACAAAAGGCACACACAATCTTTCCATTTCGATAAATTGCAAAGTAAGCGGGACGACATCAACAGACAGGGGGAAACTTATTTTTTACTAACTCGATCGAGCTCTTTCTTTGAAGTTTTAAAAAAAGTTCAAAAGATTGCACGTGATGTTTACCGAGTTGCATTCTGCGATATGGATTGCACGGCGCTTCCACAATCATGCCACACATGCGCAAACCGTACGTTATGATACAGTCATATGCGACGTTTTAAGGTAGTCTGGTTCCGGGACCAAAAGATTCTGACTATTTCTGAAGAATCTAAGGTCAGGCAGCCGCAAACGGTTAAAAAAACATGAAGTTTCTTTGGCTTGAATTTGTTTCAGATTTGGTTTTATCATTAAATGAAAATCATTTGCTTCATAATATATCGTACAGTTTGATATTTCTGTAAGAAAACAATGACTGATTATGAGCTGGAATCTTCAAAGTTAGGGACCCAAATAGCAGGCGAAGCCGATTTGGAGACGAAGCCAAGTTTTGGAATAAACCATATGTAACCGCTTTCAGATTCAGAATAATACATGACACAGCAAAGCCCTCTCCTCCTACGATCCGAGTGCATACACGATGCACAAATTCGCCATCGAATCTCAAGGGTTTTTTTTTCATGCAAGCAATGAATATTAATTATGAAATCATGTTTCTTTCATCTTTAATGAGCATGACAGGTAAATAAAACCTACATAATACCCGGAATTTTACCAGGTGCTATCCGAAAGTGTCGACAAAAAGCATTCGGCAAACTTCGGACATTTTCGGAAACGGGAGGCATTCCTCCCGTTTTGGTCACGTGCCATGGTGGCTGCCGGACCTTAGTTTCATCAGAAATAGTCAGAATCTTTTGGTTTTAAGGTATAACCTATGTAGCCTACAGCCAAAGTAAAACCAAAGCAATGGAGTTGTGGGGCAAATGTAACGTCATTCCTTCGGGTCGGGTCACCGATAGCGATTCAAAACACTGGATGTCGCGTAGCTTTCAGAATAGGAAGAGGAATAAACTAAAGTGTGATGCCTATACACACGATTCCAAAATCACAGCTCCTCTCTCTCTTTCAAAAACAAATCAACAACCCAACAAACAAACAAGCAAGCGAAGTATTCAACGTGCGATCACACTTTCACCCTATTGATTAATATCCGGGTATAAATAAGAAAGTTTAACATGTTGTATTTCAAAATTGAATCATATACAACCCTTATTAAATCAATGGTGTTTTCATTTCCTAATTTGGCATGAGGAAATATCAAATTATCCTGTGGTCCGTTTGGCAACTCCGTGGTCGAACTGACTAGTGACCACTCAGAAATTTAACGGTGGACTTGGCACTGGCTAATATTGGTCATCCGTATGAAGTTATGCCCGGAATAATAACAGCATAGTCAGGCCGATTTATTTAATACTTTTCATACGGAATGCGTCGGGGGGGGGGGGGTATTAATCACTCTTTTTCTGGAGGCATAAGCAGCCTTAAGATGGCCTTAAAATTCGAGTGGTGCAGCAGGCCAGATAATTACATTAGACAGGCTCAGTCTTAAAGGTAGAGTGGATCATTTGCAGCTATTAAAAGAGTAACCAAATTATTGTTAAAAAACTTAATTGGTTTAAATACAGTAATGACACTGAACTCCCTGTGAAATTATTCCTTCTGGCATGCTGTCATTTTGAAGAAAACAATAAAAGGAGTTAACAATAACAGATATGACAAGTGACACATTTTTGGAAATGGCCGTTTGTAGTTGGTTTGTATTTGGGTAAAACTGGGAATGGGTGCAAGCGCTGACACAACACCATTGATCTCCATATACACAGACAACACACACGCCACGCGCGCATGGCTGCTATTATTCGTGGGTTCAGTGAGAATCGGCTGAATGAGAATCATGTCCCGAATGCTGATTTCGGGATTGTGTCACGAGAGGGCGCAATTCCAAATTTGACATCCTGCCTTTTAAACTAAAATCAAAATCCAGAATATTGTTTTCTCCAAAAATATAGCATTCAACACAGAGCTAAAACTTCATCGGGTTAGTTGTTAAGCACCCGTCTTTAGATTTTGAGCACTGTTGTTGCTTCAAATGAAAAAAAAAAATGCAGAAAAGACAAGTTGTCCATTTTACCTTTAAAGTTGAATTAGGCAACAGATCTAGATTCTTCCTAATTTACGCCATTCATATATTTAACCCTTTTTTGCTTATACATTGTAAGTTATCGGCTTGTAAGTGTGACTATATGACTCACAGTCCTACCATATACGAGAAAGCTTGTTTGCGTGGGTTCCGCATAGAAAAGTGCAATATTTTAATCTGCAATTAATCAATATAACAGTTTCATTGATTTTGATGTGTGTCTCCCATTCGTGTCTTTTTATTAGTAACTGCAGTGAGTTTGAAACGATGAAATAAACCAGAATGGTAAACCGACTGTGGTATTAATTAAATTTTTATTAAGTTGATTAAGAAAATTTACCGAATCTCCTTGCTCAACCTAATAATTTGATGTACCTTTGTTTTTTAGTAATAGGCATATAGCCAAGTCATCTGCATTGGCAAAATCTTAGAACATGGAAGATGTATTTCAGTAAACCATGAAAAGGGAGACACTCATACCCCTTTAAATTTCATCGAGGACATGTTTTTCTTAATATCTTGCTATCTGAATTAAGATCTTATCGGGCGGGATTTCCACATAAGCCTGACTGGTTGGAAATACGAAAAGATAAAAAGAGACCCTGCGAATGGTTCGTTCAGGTTATAAGAAGTCATCAATTTGTTTTCAGTTTTATTCCTGAAATTTAGAATATCCCCCCTTGGGCTTCAATTGAGAAATTGTAACATTGAGGTTTTTGCTTACATTGATTTCACACTTTTGCTTACTAATATGCAAATTCGTATTAGCATAAAAAACAAAAAGGCACCGAAAGGAACTTTAAAATGGCAAAATTAAACTTGAAAATAACGTTAATCGGAACACAAAGGTGGATTTACAAAGACTGCACTAAAAAAATGCATTCCATGGGCCCTTTAATTGGACCAAAGACGTCAACAAGAAGGAATCAAATTTCTTGCGCGTTAGTACACACTCACTTCTGCATTTCCCCAAAACAACGGCAAAAACAAAGAAATTGAGGTAAAGAAGAAATAAGTGGGTTTTTATACAATGCAGAAAGGAGAAAATTAAAAATACATCAAACTTACAATATTTCAGAAATCAGAAGAAGATGGCGCTAAATGTCCAGCCAATCCTTGCTAGGATACATTGACTCCATGTCTGGGAAGGCAGAGACGACACGATAAGTTGTCGTGGACAGGATAAAAGTCCAATATGTTACCAGACAGGAAAACACATCTTATACCTCTCATGTTGACAATCATGTCGCCCGGTGGTTAATGAACTACCAGCCCTGCAATATCGAGCCAGCCTTATATATAGTCGCTCCTTGGACAATTATTTTTTTTTTATCCATTCTTTTTGAGCACACATTTCATTATTGTGGCCGGCGATGACGAGAGATCCGCTTGATTTGCTTTGTGTTAATTAATTTTTCATAAATTGTGGAGACAGGTGCCGACGCGTCGCTCAGGTTGGCTTAATTACACCTCGTCCTTGGTAGTGTAAACTACCATAGGTTTGCATAGGATACGCCGGGGAAATATTTGCAGGAAATGTGTATCAACACAGCAAGGGAGGAAATAAATGACCGGTTCATGACACCGGCCGTGTCTTGCGTTGAGGTTTTACCATGCGGTCCTATTCTCAAAGAATCAATTTTAAACTGTAGCCCTCTACCATGGGCAACCTTTCAAAACTACAATTTTACCTTTTTGTGTCTTTAAGTGTTGACAAACAAAAGCCCCACTTTTTAAGCGTTCAGAATTGCGTTCAAACTGCACATAATTATTCTTTGGAAGCAAATCCAGGGGCGGATCTAGCTTTCCGGAAAGGGGGGGGGGGGAGAATTGATAAAAGGAGCGTGGAGATGGAGCCTAAGGTGTGCCGAAGGTTCACCCTGCTACGAAATCCGGGGCATGCCATGCCCTTGGACAATTTTGAAATCTACGATGCTTTCTCCTGCATTCTAAATGAATAAATCAAGGAACTTTTAAAGCTTTTCAATTGTTATTTTTTTGCCTCATTTTACTAGTATCACAACATCAGTCAGCGGCTGAAAGTGGGGGTGGGGGTGTTGCAACCTCACACCAACCCCCCTCTGGATCCGCTACTGAAATCGTAGTGTGAATTACATGGCTTGGTAGTAATAACGGATACAAGCTGCCCCTTGAATCCAACCAAAGGGGTCAACTGTACTCCTCCAGATACCGGTTGCAATCTTTGAACTTAGGTCACGGTTATTCAAAGGTGCGGCAGCTACTAAAGGTGTTGTGACATTACACCTGTGAAATGACCTCCCGCGTTTCTCAATTTTCTTTTCCTGGTTTAACCCTTTTCACAATGTTTTGCCTAATAAATTAAATACGAAAGTTGCTGGTCCTATTCCAGATATAAATGTTAGGCCGGAGGACACTTTCATCCTGGCTTAAATTCAAATGTGACAGCTCTAC